ATATATTGTTTACTATTAAATCCTCATATCCCCACTCAGATTTTACTAACTTTCCTAATAATGTACTTGATTAAAAAAGAATCCAGTTCAGAAAGACATTGTATTTAGTTGTTACGACTCTTGGTTCTCCTCTAGTCTGTAATAGTTCCTTATTTCCTTATCTTTCTTTGGTTTTCTTGATCGTAACACTTTTAAGGATTTCAGAGTATTTTTTAAATAGTATCCTTAAATGTTTGATCTTTCCACATGACTAAATTCAAGTTAATGTATTTTTGGTAGGAATATCAGAAATGATGCTGCGTTATTTTTCTCCTTCCTATCAAGTTCTGATTTCATTTTGTCCCATTACTGATGAGTCAGTTTGTTCGGTTACTGGTGATACTCATTTTGAACACTTGATTACAATTGTGTGTGACAAGTTTTTCCACTGGTGAAGTTATTCTTGAAATATTTCTTGTTGTAATTAATAAGTACCTGTTGGGAAGGTACCGATACTATGCATATATCTTATTCCTTATTAAACTTGCAGCTCATTTTATTCATTGGGTCACAGTCCATTTTATCAGTGTGATAGGAAGAGTGCAGATGATAGCTCGTATTATTGAGAGGCAGCTGGAATTTAGGGAACCTGAATCTTTTGCTTTGATAAGCATGCCTGCCCTTTGTTCCAGAGGGAGATGCTCTTTCCGTCCCCTAAGACTATTTTCTGTACAGACATCTTTGACAGTTGGAAAAAGCAACACAATGTCAGGGAATGCAGCACACCATGGGGAACTGTCTCTCAGTATTAGTTGCTTTTCTGCCTGGAGGAGGCGAGTATCTTACACGTTGCCATCTTCTCCAATCTGGATTGTCTGCGTTGCTGACATTTTAGTCTGCAGCACAGCTGTCATCTCAGAAGTTTCCTTTGTAGTCAGTCTTGGACTTCCGTTGGATGGGCCTGCCTCTTTAAAGTGGATCCTGTTTTCTGTTTCCCATGCTTCCTTCTTCCTTAGCTTTTTGTTTTGATGATGCACATCCTCTAGTGCTTCCTGGAGAAAAATAACTTGGAAAGTTTTAAAAAATTGACATTTTATGTGCTGAAAATCTTATTCAACTTTCACTGGATTAATAGTTTGACTAGAAAGATATAGCATTATAGGTTGGAAATAATTTTTTTTCATATTGTGGAAGTATTCTTCAAATGTCTTCATTTTCTACTAGCCTTTGTTATTGGTTTTGAGAGGTCAAGTGCCATTTTGCTTCCCGATTCTTTGTATAGGAAAGAATCCGTTATGTCTGGAAGCTTGTCGAAGCTTTTGTTCTTATGATGTTCCTTACGATGGGTCTTCTTTTGGTAACTGTACTGATCATGTGATGAGCACGCTTAGTGGACATTTATATTCATTAGCTCTGCAAAATTAATTTGTTTCTGCTCTTTTCTCTTTCTTGTATTTTGATTGTCAGATTTGGACCTTTTGAATTGCGCTTCTATTTGTGTGGTTTTGTTTCCATTTAAAATGTCTCTTTATTGTTATTTTAATGGAGTGTGTGTGTGTGTGTGTGTTGGGGGGGGGGTGGGCATTAACCTAAGCATAAATGTGATTGATCTTCCATGTTTTATAATGTATTTTAAAATGCAATTATTAAAAAAATTAATCTTATTTGTCAGGTAGTAGGATAGCACTAGAAAGATTGCAAGTGTTTTTAAAAATACATATTGGGTCGGCAAATAAGTAATTGCGGATTTTTTAAAGAAAATCAAAGACAATTTTTTCATGGAACTAAATAACTTTATTCTGTAATGTATTGCCCATTTTGATCAATGACCTTTTGCCATCTTTCAGGCAGCATCATAATCCCACGTTCAAAAAACTTCTGGTTTTTATTAGCAAAAAACTGAATCAGGTACGATTTGACATCATCATCATTATTGAAATTTTTACCATTCAAGGAGTTTTGTAAAGATCGAAACAAAAAGTAATCAGATGGTGCAAGGTCAGGACTATATGGTGGATGTGGCAAAACATCCCAACCAAGCTCCATTAATTTTTGCCGAGTGACCAAAGATGTGTGTGGCCTTGCATTGTCATGATGGAATACAACACCTTTTCGATTTGTCAATTTGGGCCGCTTTTCTTCAACTGCATTGTTTAATTTCGTTAGTTGTTCAATGTAGACATCAGAATTGATCGTTCGGTTGGGTGGTAAGAGTTCAAAGTAGACAATTTCTTTGTAATCCCACCAAACTGATAACAAAACCTTCTTTTGATGAATATCAGCTTTTGATGTTGTTTGAGTTGGTTCACCTGGCCTTCTCCACGATCTTTTCCGCTTGATATTGTTGTAAACAACCCATTTTTCATCGCCAGTTATCAGTCGTTTTAAAAATGGATCATTTTCATTACGTTTCTTTAGCAAATCGCAGCTGCTAATGCGTTGCGTTAACTGTGATTCTTTCAGTTCGTGAGGAACCCATGTATCGAGTTTTTGAACATAGCCAAGTTGTTTTAAGTGATTTTCAATGCATGTATGTGATACATGAAGCTTCTCTGCAATCTCACGTGTTGTACTGTGACAGTCCGAATTGATTATTGCTTTGATTAGGGCGTCATCAACTTCAACTGGACGACCAGAGCGTTTTTCATCTTTGAGTGAAAAATCACCAGAACGAAATTTGGCAAACCAATTTTGACACTGCCGTTCTTTTAAGGCTTCGTCACCATAAACAGCACATAACTTTTTATGAGCTTGCGATGCGTTTTTCCCTTTGCAGAAATAAAAAAGCAAAATATGACGAAAATGTTCCTTTTGATTTTCCATTTTTCAGCGAACGCCAAACGAAAACTACAAAACAGATCAAAAAACTTTTTTTACTGATTAACAGCTGAATAGCCAACTATCAAATAACAAAATGTGTTTTACATTTGTACTACGTCTGCCAACCTAAAAATTCAACTGAAGCCATATATGTATGAAACCCGCAATTACGTAGTTGCCGACCCAATATATCTATGTATTTTAAAAATACATTTTTATTGATTTCAGGGAGGAACTTAGAGGGAGAGAGAAACATTAATGGTGACAGAGAGTCACTGATCAGTTCCTACATGCCCCATATTGGGGATAGAGGCCTCAACCCTGGCTCCAGGTTCATAGGTCAACGCTCACCCACTGAGCCACGCTGGCCAGACAGATTGCAAGAGTTTTTATGCTTACATTCTGCCTGTTTTTTTTTTTTTTTTGTTTGTTTTTTCTTCAAGGAGGGTGAGACATCTGGAATACTTTTTAAAATTCTCCCCCAAGGATATGTTTTTATTGATTTTATATATATATATATATATATATATATATATATATATATATATATATAATCAAATTTTATATATATAAATAAATGTGAGAGGGAAATATCAATTGCACCCTGACCAGGGAATGAACCTGTAACCTTTTGGTATATAGGACGATGCTCCAACCAATTGAACTATCTGGCCAGGGTCATCTGGAGTGTTAAGAGATAAATGAGGCCCTAGCCAGTTTGGTCAGTGGTTAGAGCAGCATCTTGCCTGGGCAGGTACCACAGTTGATCCCGGGCCCAGGGGCCCATGTGGGAGGCAACCAATCAATATGTCTCTCTCACATCACTGTTTCTCTTTCTCCCTCCCTTTCTAAAAACTGGTGGAAAAGACATTCTCAGATGAGTTAAAAAAAGGCACATGAGTAAAGGTGAGCTTGTCTGCCTTTAAAAAGCAAGTTTCTTGTCAGATTTACCAAATATACTCATTTTTTCCTAATCTAAAGTAGGTACTATTATAAAACTTGTGATTTGTCACAGTTCAGTCTAAAATGACCTACTTTCACGTGATCCTATATAATAAACAGCTTATATGCTGATTAGATCGAACAGCCAAACGACCTTCTGGACATCCTCCCAGTCAACCTTCTGGATGAAGCCGGGGCTGCAAGGTCCGGCCGGGGCTGCGAGGGGCCCTGAGGGCCGGCCGGGGCTGTGAGGGGCCCTGAGGGCCGGCCGGGGCTGCGAGGGTCCCTGAGGGCCGGCCGGGGCTGCGAGGGGCTACTGGGGCTGCGCGGGCTGAGCCCCTTGCACGAATTTTGTGTGTTGGGCCTCTACTGTTCCAAATAAGAATCATGGTATTTTATAGCTGACACTTACATCTAATCGGGTATTTTCATTGTAATGTGTAGCAACTGAGTCCTTGAGTTTATATGTGACTTACTGACAGCCAGATAAGAGAGCAGAGTTAGATAAGAACCCAGGTGCTCTCTCTTTTCTAGTCTCATTTTCTACAAGCTCCACTTTGGCTTTAGCTATAGGTTTTCCCAAAATAGTCAGCCACAGTCTCAGCAAATAACTATATTCTGAATCTCAAACAGATTAGTCTATGATCACTTGTCTTATTTCTTTTTTAAAAGAAATATATTTTATTGATTTTTCACAGAGAGGAAGAGAGAGTAAGAAACATTAACCAGCTGCCTCCTGCACACCTCCCACGGGATGTGCCCACAACCAAGGTACATGCCCTTGACTTTCCGGAATCGAACCTGGGACCCTTCAGACCGCAGGCCGATGCTCTATCCACTGAGCCAAACCTGCTAGGGCCACTTGTCTTATTTTAAAATGCAATTATTTAAAAAAAGTTTAATCTTATTTGTCAGGTAGTAGGATAGCACTAGAAAGATTGCAAGCGTTTTTAGAAATTCCCCTTCTGATTTTCCTCTGACAGTTAGGTGTGGAGGTGAATATCAGGTTTCCAGTTAGCCCACACATAGCTTGTCTAGGTGGATGACAGAGCAGCTGGACTGTTTTAAGGTGCCGTGTTATTGAGAACTGACGCCAGTATACATTAAACTACTGAAAGGATTTGCATCTAGGATAACTAGTTTTCAGAACATTATTAGCTAATATGTATAGGTTCAGCAACAGAATTGTTTTGATGAGTGTCCTTGTTGATTCGATTGATAGAGGGTATCTTTGATTAATGATTGTTTTTCTTTCCTAGTCAGCAGATAAGCAGCGAGCCCTAGAAGAAACCAAAGCCTACACCACCCAGTCCTTAGCGAGTGTTGCCTATCTGATAAATACCTTGGCCAACAATGTCCTGCAGATGCTGGATATCCAGGCATCCCAGCTACGGAGGATGGAATCGTCAATCAATCATATTTCACAAGTGAGACCATACTGCTTTCTATATTGTTATGAGGAACACTTAATAAACACAGGCAATCTGTGATGTTGGCAGTCTTTATTATGTGAGTTAACTCACATGTATGACTTGGAAAATACAGACTCAGTATTCAAACTCAGTATTTTTTTATTTTATTTTATTTTTTTAAATCTTCACCTGAGGACATGCTTTTATTGATTTTAGAGAAAGAGAAAGGGGGAGAGGGAGAGAGAAATAGAAACATCAATGTGAGAATGAAACATTGTTTGGCTGCCTCCCACGCGAGGTTCCCCTAACCTCTGCTGCGGGTGGAACCTGCAGTTTGGGTGTGTAGCCGGAACCCACACCTTTCCGGGTAAGGGACAGCTTTCTAACCACTGAGCCACACCTCCTTTTTGTGGGGGGATTTTCTACTCTGTGATTTTGTTAGGGAAGTAAATTTTAATGGTCCATTAAAACTCAGTTGTCATGTTAACAGCCTTCAAGTGAAACTTTGTTTATTCTGTCTTTTACCAAATCACACATTTTACTTTTGAAAAATATAAATGTGATAGCTGCTTGTTGGGTTTTTGTTTAACAGGATGGTACATTACCTTAACAGAAAGAGTAATCTAAGTCACCTTATAAAATTATCTTTATATAGAACTTTAAAAAATTAGAGGGATATCTTAGTTAATATTATTTAACCTTAAATCTGAATTTTCCACTATACATATTTCTTTACATCCTATATAAACTTGTGTAGACATAAAATAATTTATTGTGTGTTGTACTTCTGTGTCTCTTAAACTAAAATCAAATAAAATCCATCAACAACAAGAATTTTGGTGGCTTTAATGAATGAGAGATAACATTCTGAAAAATCCTAGTGGAAATGTCAATGACATCTAAGAGAGATGTTTTTATTGATTTTAGAGAGAGGAAGGGTGAAGGATGGAGAGATAGAAACATCAATGAGAGAGAAACATCGATTGGTTCCCTCTAGTACATACCCAGTGGGGATCGAGCCTGCAATCTGGGCATGTGCCCTGACTGGGAATCAAACCCGTGACCTCTTGGTTCATGGGTCGATGCTCAAACACTGAGCCACATCGTCTGGGCAGTCAGTGGCATTTTAAATTACTAAGTATATGATTAAATGATTTTCTATAGGAGAAGGGATGTTGATTAATAATCTGATAATAGAATTTCTAAGTTATACTTGAGAGACTTAAAGTTTTGGCATGTTTGCAGTCTTAACAAAGGACCCAAAAAAAGAAAGTAGGAAGAAAGTGCAAATGCAGAAGATAAATATATTAGAGTTTCTAAAAAAGAGGGAGAACTTTTTATAGTTTGTAGGAGCAGGAGAGATTGTGCAGATAGATGGTGATATTAAGCAAATGAGGGTAAAATATAATAAGCTATTTTCTGATTAGAATTCTGTAGTTCTTTGGTAGAAAGAGTAGCAACCTTAAAGAGGAAGATAAATAAGTACTTGAGGTTGTAATTACGAATATTAAGTCATTCAATGAGAACATTTTCTTTTTTAAGAATCACATAAATTTATATTTAATTTATGTAGTCTAATCAATACTATCTTAAAGTTTTTCTAATGGAATAAGTAAAACATAGATGAGATGAATGGATAGAGATGAGAGGGTCAGAAGTAATAGGGGCCTCGGCCAGAGCTGTCAGGCATATGTTGGAACTGTCCTCATATGTTGAACTGAGTGTGTGCAGGGCAGTCCTGAAGGAGTGTGGGATCTGCAGTTGCATAGCAGCTGTTACATTTAAAAAGAGTATGTTGGATGGAGGTTTGAGTAGGAAAAGTGGTCAGATGAAGATGAAGGCTTTATCTGTGAAATAAGAATACATTTTAAAAAATTGTATATTTTTAAGCATTTTTCTTAAGGATTAAAATTTTTTTCAATTGCCCTAGGTTTGGCTCAGTGGATAGAGCGTCGGCCTGTGAACTGAAGGGTCCCAGGTTCGATTCTGGTTAAGGGCACATGCCTGGGTTGTGGGCTTGATCCCCATTGGGGGACTTGCAGGAGGCAGCCAATCCATGATTCTCTCTCATCATGGATGTTTCTATCTCTCTCCCTCTTCCTTCCTCTCTGAAAACCAATAAAAATATTTTTTAAAATTTTCCAATTATGTTTAATGTACAGGTAGAGTTCTTTGGTTTATCATTGATTGGTTGATTAATTGACTGATTTTAGAGAAGAAGGAAGGGAGGGGGAGAGAGACAGACAGACTTATCAATTTATTGTTCAGCTGTTCCACTTATTTAGACATTCATTGGTTGAATTCTTGTATGTGCTCTAATGGGGAATCGAACCCACAACTTTAGTGTATGGGGTCAATGCTCTAACCAACTGAACTACTTGGCCAGGACTAGAGTTCTTTCTTTTAAAGGTTAATTGAACATCAAAACTATTTGAAGCTCTTTAGACTAACAGATTATTCTACAGTTTAAGAGAAAATGTTTTCTATTTACAAAGCAAATTCTCAGTAAATATTCAAGGATTGATAAACTTTTTCTATAAAGAGCCAGGTATTTTAGGCTTTTTGGGCCACATATGATCTGTCTCATATTGTTCTTTGTGTATATTTGTTTTTAAACAACTATTTAAAATGTAAAAACCATTCTTAGCTTGTGGGCCATACAAAGCAGGCTGGGCCAGATTTGGCATATAGGCTGTAGGTTGTAAATCCTTACTCTAAAGTACTCCCCCCAAAAATGTTTGGTATTTAAAAATTATTATCATGCTTTATTAAAAATATTATGTTTTTAGAGGGAACCAGATGTTCTTAAGATATCTTGAGACCAGATTTTTCTTTTGCAATTTGGGCAAAAATACTGGATTTGGAGAATTTGGAAAGCCAATTGAAGAGGCAAAGAAGTGGAGCTGCAGGCAGGTCAGAGAGAGATCACGTGTTTGGAATGGTGGTGGTGTCAAGAGTTAGGTGAGGGCTGTCTGGTAGATTGGCTCAGGACCAGCGATATCATATATCTATTTGATATTATATATCAAAAAGAGCTGTTTGATTTCTTTCCTCATCAATATCTTTTTTCTCTCTCCTGGGTAAGAACCTTATCATTTTCCAGTCTCCTAGTGCTCTAGCTCTTTTCTCATTTTAGTGGAAATGAACACTGAGTAGGGTTGGGAGGAGGGAAGATAGGGGATCTAGGTTTCACCTTGGTTCTTTGGCTGACTTGTGTGACATTTGGTTTCTTTGAACTGGACTTTTCTTACATGTAAAATGATAGGACTGATTAGATTATTTCTGAGCCATCTTCCATCTTGAATTCTTTATTCCACTGAGATTCCCAGAATGATACTTGATTTGTAGTTGCTTTTTTCTCTTTTTATTCTGTTGGTTCTGCTATTTGTCTCAGTCTGTGCCCCAAGTCACTCTGAATTTCAACCTAAGGATTAGAATTCCATTGGCTCTATCAACTATGTATCAGGAAGAAATACTTTAAAAAAATGACGAAGTAATAACCCATTCTCTAAATGTCAAACATTTTAAAATGCAAGACAGAGTTATGAATATTTAGTATTAAACACCTTATTTTTTACTGAGTGGACAATATAGTATTGAATAGTGTACTATGTATACCACACTCTCCATATCCATAAGGAACTACAGGCATATCTTATTTTATTGCTTTTTTTTTTTTTTGTAAATCCAGAATCAAGGAAGTCTGTGGGTGCCATTTTTCCAACAGGCTTAGGAGATGATTAGTATTTTTTTCAACAATAAGGTATTTTTTAACGAAGGCATATAATTGTTTGTAGACATAATGCTGTTGCACATTTAGCAGACTGCAGTATAGCGTAAACATAACTTTTATATGCACTGGGAAACCAAACATTCACGTGCCTCATTTTATTGGCGATTCTCGCTTTCGGTGGTGGTCTGGAGCCGTCCCTGCGATCTTTCTGAGGTATGTCTGTAGTAGGATAGGTTCTTGTGGTGGTATACCTTAGGTATTTTAAGGATGATAAAATTTTAAGAAATTCCATCTTGTTCTTGCTGTTATCTCAAATCTTTGGAAGCATATTTTTAAAAGCGAACTGAAATTTTAATCTTCAAACTGAGATCAGGATTTAAATTAACATTAAATATTTTCAAGAAAATATAATTATCAGAACAAACATTTAATTTTATTGAATACTTGTACAAGTATATAACTGCTTTTAAGTGAGTGTAGCATTATGTATAAGAATGAATGCTATTTACTGTGTACATTTCTGGTAAGTTTATAAGAAAGGTTTATAGAACATTATTCAAACTAAAATTCTTATAAATTAAAATTCTTTAAGCCATTCCTGTCTTTTCTCTCAACTCCTAAAAACAGCTTGTACTGTCTGCTTTAGTTCCTTGTGACTTAAAAAATCACGAGAAATCAAAAGGCAATGTAAATGAAAAGGTAGTGTTTTTCCAAGCCTCCCAAGAGCTAAAAATTAATTGGGCCCAGTGTTCAAGTAGTTAGTAGAAAGCAAGTAAAGGAGATAGAAAATAATGGTATAAAATAATAGAACTCTTTAGTACCTGAAGAGTTAGGTACTAACAGAGAGTGGGAAATCTAAACCCTAAGAACTCACCATGTTAGATAATATTTTCTTTAAAAAATTCTCTGATTAAAAAATTCCCAAATTAAAGAAATCCCACTAAAGTAGGAAAGTAGGACTTATACAGTTCCTAATTAATTTGATATTGTAGTTTAAGTCATTTTTATAAAAAATGAATAACTGAAATTACCCAGTTCAGTTTGTTGGTAACTAATTTGTTTTATGAAAAGTGAATAATTTATTTGTAATTGGAATAATTAAAGGCTTAATTGAAATGTTAACTTACTAATGAAGAAACAGACATTTTAAGGAGGGAAAAGGGTTGACAAACTTTTTTTGTAAAGGCCCAGCTAATATCTCACACTTTGCAGGCCATCAGGTCTCTGTTAGAAATGGTCACCTATGCCATTGTAGTGTGAAAATACTTAAGCAAATAGAATGGCTGGATTCCAATAACATTTTACATATGGAAACTGAAATTTGAATTTCACATAGTTTTCATACATCACATTTTTTCAACCATTAAAAGTGTAAACACCATTCTTAGTAGATGGTGGGTGGTATTTGGTCTGTTAATCATGGTCTGTCAAACCTTGCTTTAGCCTAAAACTGGAGAAAGTCAGTATTGGTGCAAAGTGGAGCAAATTTAACAGTTGTGGTTAAAAATATGAATAATGATGTTAAATTTCTAAACATTTATATTTGATTTTTCTGGGTATTAGAGCTATACATTTTTTTGGTTGTACTTATATTTTGCAGACTGTTGATATTCATAAAGAGAAAGTTGCAAGAAGAGAAATTGGTATTTTGACTACCAATAAAAACACTTCAAGGACACATAAGATTATTGCTCCAGCCAATCTTGAAAGACCAGTTCGTTATATTAGAAAACCTATCGATTATACAATTCTAGATGATATTGGACATGGAGTAAAGGTAAGTATAATTTTTGTCAAGATTTTTAAAACAGTAGTCCATGATGGACTTAACTCTAGAAAATTAAGGTTTTATCTTTCCTTTTCTAGGGAACCAAAACTTAGCCCAGTTGTGTTTCTGAAGAGTCCTTACTGCTATAAACTATTTTAACTTCCTTGCTTCTTTTTAGTGCTATGTTCGCAAGTTTTAAATAATTATCTTCGAATGAATTGCATTTGCTTAATCAGTTAATGATAATACCTCATGTATATGATAAATAAATGTGGTGTAATCTAACCTTTTAATGATTTAATATGACTGATTAAAATCATTCATTATGTTATTAAGTATCTTTAAATTTTTCCCTTAAAAATTTATCAGCAAACTTTGGGCATTAGTTTTCATAAAGAACCTAAACAAACAAAAATGCACTTAGATTTTTCTAAAATAATTTTATCTTAACATTCTGGGTAAGAATAATTTAGATAAAAGTAATATGTGAATTAATATTTCCACTGCTTTTGCATATATGGTCTTTGTATTTTTTGGCTATCTTCTAAAATTCATTGAGTGCCTGCTAAGTATATAAACATTGAGTTTTGCTATGATCAAAACTTGAGAGGTATATAAATTTTATTTAAATTGGTGTTTGTACTTAAAGTATTCAGAGTTTTAACTAAGCATTAAGTTATTTAAAGTTTGCATCTTATAAATGATTTTAAAGACAATAACTTATGAAATGTGACTCGAATAAACATATATGCTTATGTGAAACTGTATATAAGCAAATTTAAATTAAAAATACTCTATGCTAGTATGGCTAATATGTGCATGAAAATGTACAATGTAAATTTAAAAAATATTTTTCTTCCTCAGAATTTTGATAATTTTGATAATCACTATTTGATATTTAATTTTATAATTAACACCTACATATATTTGGATTACAACTGTATTAATTAGAACATGCTAATATAGGATGTGTAATTGATGGATAATTAATAACTGAAATTTATTTCAGCTTGGGCAAACCTTTTCAGATTTATTCAAGACTAGCAACTGCTAATAGAAAATTTTAGGGTACTGCCAGAATCTAACGAGTAAAAGGCACTTGGAATATAAAACGATTTGTGCTTGTTCACTTATATATAAAATGGTGATTCTCCACTTCAGTGCTCATTTAATTCTCAAGTAAAATGTTACTGTTTTAGGACTGTGCAGTCCCTTTCAGTTGTTTGGACTTTTAGTTTTTAGGGTCACTAATTTGAAGAAATCTTTAATAGAGTTAAGGTTTAAATAAAACAGTGTCATATAATTTCATCAAAAAAAACTCTTGTTCATGACACATTCTGCTTTAACCACTCTTTCTATGATCTACTGAAACATTATTTTTTAATGCTGAATGCTTAACTTGTTTTTTCTTTGTTTTCCCCTTTCTCTTTACATCCTGAAGTTCCAACTAACCTTTCAATGCTTTTTTTCCTTACCTCTTTTATTTGCTCCATTTATGCATTAAGTGGTTGCTTAGATTTAAGGTAAGAGATTCCAGGGCTGGATTTCCATTCTTTGTTCTTATGTAGAACATTACATATGGGGAGTGAAGAGATATTTGGCAGTTGGCCTTTTAAAACCAAATAATTCCTGTTTTATTTTTTATTTTTGTCATGCAACTTTGTGGAGTCTTCATGTTCCATAAGGGCAGTTATTTTTTTATGTTTTGCCCTAACTTGTGTGCCTAGCTAGTGCCTGACTCTTCACTAGGTGCTTAGTAAATATTTATTTAATAAATGGTTAATACATTCTGTGATACTGAAATGTAAGTTACACTATCGTAAAATGTTATGGAATGAAATTAGCTGGATTATGTAAATGTAGAAATTTTGTTAAGAGTTAGCCAACTAATGTGCTTTGTTTAACCCTCCCCCTGTGTAATAGCCTTTTTATTCTATAAATGGTGTGCTGTGTTATATACCTTGTAGCCACTATATCATTATCACTTGATTCTTAATGTAAAGAAATTGAAAAGTAGAAAATATTCAGTGTTACAGGGTGTTTTTTTTTAAGTTGCAGTATCGTGTATTTTGCAAAAAACAAAATTAGTCTTTTTCCTCAAATTGTTATGTAAAAAAATATGCTTCAATATAAAATCACTTTGAGTTTTCAAGTTGAGGATTAATTATATGCAAAACATCATAAATGCATGGCAGTGTTTAACAAAATACAAGTTAAGAATTAGAGAAATGTTTTCTTTGGTATTTTTTTTTAGTAATATTCTAATATTTTGGAGGATTAATGGTAAAAGACACTCTAGTTTATTCAAGAAACCTATCACAAATAGTACATTACTAAAATTATTTCACCAAATTGAGCTTGCACTTTTTTTTCCTTAGGTGAATTTTATAATTTTTCAAATACATATTCTTTCTAATACCTAGTTTGCCATGTCTTTATGTAGAAAATGATAGCAAGAAGACAAGATCACTGAGATGTGAATTATTAACTAGCTATTGACCATGCGGCCCCAGAGATTTCAGTAGATGGTGGTAGGGAGATGTGACTAGAGGAGCCCAGGCAGATGCACTTCGTGTGATCTTGATCAGGGCTGGATCCATGCGCTCAGTCTTGTGAGTGCGGCTTGTGGGATTGTGAGGAGAATTCCTTGGCATAAAACAGGTAGAACCAGACCCAAAATAGGGTGTGGCTGGCTGCCTTGGTCTCTCTCTAAAGTCTGTATTCAAATTTTGGCTATTGATATGTTAATCTCCAAAAATAAATGAAATACAGAGATTAACTGAAGGAAAAACACAGAAATGGACAATATGGATCAATTCTTTTCCTTTCAAGTTTAGACCAGCTTGCTTAAGCTACTATCCCATGCTCATCTCCTCCAAACCTACTATGATTTCTTCTTTACCTTTCTGGATCTTCATGTGGAAGACAGGGCAAAATGAGTGGGAAATGAGAGACTCCTTGAAAGAAAGATCTAATGTGGAAACATCACGCTTGGATTAGAGTCGTTGACATTTCGCACCAGAGAGCTCCTCCCTCCAGTACAGGGTTGTGTTTCTCCTGGACCGGAGAGAGTCCCCTGAGTGTGCTCCAGGAGCTAGAGTGTGCAGTGCTGTCTTTGCTTTCTTCCTGCTCCTCTTTGAATATGTCTGTCTGTTGTACAAACGTGTGGCACATTAACAATTACCAAAACAAAGCAGAGTGAAAAATAAATTCAGCATATAGCAAATCATGTGTCTTCCTATGGAGAAAAAAAGATTAGTGGTTTTGGAAGGGTGATAAATGAAATAATAGGACATATTAAGGTAGAAAATAGAACTAAAGGAAAAAAGGTTAAAGTTAAAAGGGACTACAAATAACTAACTAGACCCATAGTTGTCTAACTGAGCTTTGTGGTGGCCCTTGGGTTTTATCAGGTGCCAGGGGAGTCTCCTGATGTTCGGCAGGGTTGTCTGCTGTTCTGATTTCTCCTCAGCTCTTCTTCAGTCTGTTTTGCTCTCATTGTTGTCAGATTTGATGCCTTTGGGACAGACTCTAAACGAAGTTTGTACTTTGGGATCAGACTTGGAAATTGACTCAAAAGAGACTTCCATGCTTAAAATTTGAATTTTTAACTTTTTATACCTCATATTTTGGTGTTTTTTGTAAATTTATTTTTATTGTCGAGGTTATTACAGATATCCCACATTTTCCCACCTACATCCAGCTGCTGCCCTACCCCAGGCCTTCACCACAGTATGATCTATCTCCATGGTGCTATATGTACACACATAAATAGGTTCTTTGGTTAATCTCTCCTGCCTCCACCCTGAGATCTGTTGGTCTGTTCTATGCTTCCATGTCTCTGGACCAATTTGTTGGTTAGTTTATTTTGTTTATTAGATTCCACATATAAATGAGATCATGTGAAACTTGTCTTTCTCTGACTGGCTCATTTCACTTAGCATAAAAATCTCCAGGTCCATCCATGATGACCCAAAGAGTAAGAGACCCTTTTTTTAATTTTTATTTTATAGCTGCATAGTATTTCATTGTGTAAATGTACCACGGTTGTTTTATCCACTCATCTGTTGATGGGTGCTTGGGTTGTTTCCAGATCTTAACTATTGTAAATAACACTGCTATGAACAGGGGGGTTCATATATTCTTTCTGATTGGTGTTTCCGGATTCTTTGGGTATATTCCCAGAATGGGATTGCTGGGTCAAAGGGGAGTTCCATATTTAATTTTTTAAGGAAACACCATACTGTTTCCCATAATGGCTACACCAGTCTGCATTTCCACCAGTGCACTAGGGTTCCCTTTCATCATATCCTTGCCAGGACTTGTTTGTTGATGTATTGATGGTAGCTATTCTGGCAGGTGTGAGGTGTTACCTCCTTGTCTTTTTAGTTTGTGTGATTAGTGATGTTGAGCATTTTTTCATGTGTCTTGGCCATCTGTATGTCCTCTTTGGAGAAGTGTCTATTCAAGTCGTTTGCCCATTTTTAAATTGTATTGTCTGTCTTTCTTTTGTTGAGTTGTATGTATTCTTTACATATTTTGGAAATGAACCCCTTATCATTGGCAAATGTTTTCCTATACAGTGGATTTCTTTTTTATTTTGTGGATGGTTTCTTTTGTTATGCAGAAACCTTTTATTTTGATGTAATTCCGTTTTCTTATTTTTCCCTTTGTTTCCTTTGCTCTAGGACATTTATCAGTGAAAATTCTGCTACATGAAATGCCTGAGGTTTTACTGCCTATGTTTTCTTCTAGGATTTTTATAGTTTTGTGACTTACATTTAAGTCTTTAATCCATTTTGAGTTTATTCATGTGTATGATATAAGTTGGTGGTCTAGTTTCATTATTTTGCATGTACCTGTCCAATTTTCCCAACATCATCTGTTGAGAGACTGTTTTTATTCCATTGCCTCCTTTAAAAAATTCTGGGATCTCTCTTCTGTTTCATTGTTCTATGTGCCTGTTCTTGTGCCAGTACCAGGCTGTTTTGATTACAGTGGCTTTGTAATATAGTTGATAGCTGGTATTTTGATCTCTCCAACTGTGGTGTCCTTCCTCAAGATTACTGCAGCTGTCAGGTCTTCTGATAGTGTTTAAATCTGTAATTTGGGTGGTTTTTTCTTCAGTCGACTGAGGAACACAAATTGTAGAGTTTAATTTATAAACCCTTTGAACCCAAAATAGTGAAAAACTTATTTGGCTAATGTAAAGGTAGTACAGGATCAGTGAAGTATAAATTCTAAATTTTTTCCAACATTCCATAGGGACTCTGATTTCTTAAGTGATTTAAGTTACTCATCCAAACCTCATAATCCAAACAAATACAACAAACATGATGATTCTACGGATCATAAAATGTACCAAGTTTTATTCATAGAAATTTCCACCAGATTTTAATTTATATATTGTTTATTTTATATTTTGGGGGGTGGAGTAAAAGACCTAAAGAAGATACTGCAATTTAAATGAAAACACCCTATATACCAAAAACTTAAATCAATGTTGGAAAGCTGATTTCATGTATTTTAACTATTCCATGTATAGAATAAAATTTTCTTTTACTCTTTTTCTATCCCTGCTCCTTTTCCTTCCTTTGTAGCAAATTGCTGTAGTTTAGTATTTGGTTCACCTACTTCTTCATCACTTAAAGTTTTGGGGTCTGTGTTGTTTTAAGGTTGAGCTTAAAGGACTTTGGTTACTACTTTAAAAAAATCTTGTCATCAATTAAAATTTAATAGTTTTAAAAACTATTAGTTATTTGTCATGTTACTTCTAAAATTTTCCTCAAATATGGATTGCTTTAAAAACCAAACAAACTTCTGGCATTTTCATTTTAAGATATGATTAGTATACCTCTGCTTATTGATGATGGGGAGAACAAGGATAAGTTAATCTTTATTTTATTCTTACTTGGTAACCTGTTTATCTTATATTTATAAAAGCAACAACAAAAGGATTACTGATAAATGCTTCACTTAAAAAATACTGACATTTCAAAGGTGTCATTTGTCATTAAAGATTGTTTTATCATCACACACAACTTGTTCACTGGGCTATTCATTTGAAGAGTTTGCTTGTTATTTCTTGCCTATTCACATGACAAGTAGTGCTTTAGGATTTAAAAAATTCCATTTATTGTAATTTTGATAGCCTCAGTACTCTGAATACAATTATGATTTATTTTCTTAAAGTATATTTTTGAAATTACATACTTAAATGTAGTTTCTGATTCCAGTGGTGTAATGTCTTGAAGTTTCATTTTACACATATAATTTGAATACTATAGACATTCTTATGAGAAAAGTTAAGATCCTTTTTTGAAGTGTGTAGCAGTCCAAATTATCAGGGGCTTGATTAAAAATCTCAAACAATTTGAGATTGTGTTTGAATTACTACATTTGAGAATGACTTTTCTTAGCTCCTTAGAACATCCAGATTTCTAGGGCTGCCTGTGTGGTGCTGACACACTCTTTTGTGTTACCTGTTGTTCCCATCTTACCCAGCTTTTCTACACTTGCATTCTCAGTTGGGGATAGGACAGTGAGGAGTCAGGCCTTAGCTCTATGTTGCTCACATCTTTGCCGTGACTGAGTCAATCTTCATTTGGGGCCGGAGCGGGTCTCATTGCCACTGGAACGAGGACATTGCCTGTGGTCCCTGTACTGCTCACAGTTGAAGGGGATAGCTCAGCCCTAACTTTCCACTTCAGGTGTTTAGGAACATGCCTAAACTCTGGCAGTGTGTAGGTAGGTGATTCCTTCATAAGAGAATTGAAAGAAATCTGAATTGTAAGGCTGATCCACTATTAAAAAAACTTAAAATTTTATCTGTATATCATGCAATTGAACTTTATTTTGCATTCTCTTGTTACTGGATCAAGACTATAGTTGTATATTTTATTTGAGAAGTGTGTTTTGTATGACATACTATCTAAAAAACAAGGAATTGTTTATGGTTGTCATTGTTTCTGATTGAATTTATTCTTTATTAAAACTGGAGTTTTTTTAGTTATCCTATTTAATTTCAGTTGAGTGCAGTATCAGATGGTCCAACCAGTGATCTGTTGGTGTGATGGCCTAATGGCAAATAAAGTCTTTGCACACAAGTTTACAACCATTTGAAAATTTCACATTAGGAAGAGTCCTTTGAGTACAACTGTAGAATAATAGTGGAGTAGAAATTGCAATTGAAATGCATGGCCTCTAATTTCCCCCCCGTTTAAACCTTCCCCTTCTTTGTTAAATAGCATAGCATTATTTCCAAAAGTGCTCCTTTGTTTCCCTGCATACAAATGGGATGTTTCTGAAAACTTTTTAGGTGAGCACCCAGAACATGAAGATGGGTGGGCTGCCACGCACAACGCCTCCCACACAGAAGCCCCCCAGCCCCCCTCTGTCAGGGAAAGGGACGCTTGGGTGAGTATGTAACCAAGGAATAAGGAAACTTTTTCATGTAGTGTTGGGTTATTATAAATTGCACTCTAATTCTTATTTTCATAAAAGCTTTAGTCTTGTATTATAGTTGGCTATCCTTATTTAGACTACTCCTCTGAAGAGCACTATGTAGATTATAAAATTCTGTGTTCTCAGTCGATGAGAATATTGAGCTTTATTTGGTCCTACAGAAGTGGGCTCTGGATTAGACTTTTGGCAGAAATGGTGAATTAATAGAAAAGCTTGACGCTCTCCTTCTGCAGCATCATAGTATAAAAATGTGGTTGATCGTGGAGGTTTGTGGTCAGGTAGGCATAATACACCTCAGAAGCCAGATGACCAAAATTGTGATCCAGCCTTGCTCCTGCGGTCTCATATCATCAGCCTCTTAGTAAATTCAGTTTTTTCATCTGTAAAAGGGGGTAATATTTGTCATCAATTTTTTCAGAGTCACTATCGTGAATTGGATTTATAAAAAATGTATAAAACAAAAATTGCTTTGACAACCATTGTCTTTATGATATATGCTTAAACATTTTTAATTGACAATCTTGTTTTTGGGCCCCCTCACCAAAAAAAAAACAAACAAACAAACAAAAAAACTCAAATGAAAACCAAAAACACACAGAGAATCATAATCAAGCAATGTGAATCAGAAGACAAGGATGAATTGGATGTAAAGAAGTATAATGTTGGGAATTATAGTTAGTACAGTGGGAAACAAAGGAACAGAAATGAATTCCAGCCAGAAATAGGATTTTATTTAGGTAAACAACAAAAAAAAAAAATTCTGCTTAGATTAGAGAGGAACAAATCTAGAAGATCAAATAAGATTTATACTTCAGGCTAGACCGTAGAGGACATAGTAGAGTATAATTTTGCAGAGGTAAGAGTAGAGAGTCAAATCAAGAGGAAGTACTGTATTTTCCTGTGGAACATCTACAGTTTTATCATGTATAATGCCTGATGGGTTTTCTTAGATTCTTAAATCAAGATTATTGGCAACATAACCCACTGTAGTCACTAATAAAATAAAATTTTCTGATGCTCTCAGATTTGGACGATTTACGCATATACCAATACTTGTTTTGTTTGTGTGTTAGCAAGGGTTCTGGAGGATCCTCAGTCTCTGGCACCATGAACTGGTTGATGGTCATAGCCTGGCCATTTTGCAGTATTTGCCTAGCCACCACATGTTGTTCCTCTGTCCCTTTTTCACCTTGTTTTTGTCATTATCTTCACTGTATAGTTCTCAGTCAGCAAAGTTTTTTTTTTTTTTTTTTCCCTTTCTTGCTTGAAACAACATTTTGGTTGTCTGGAAAAAATTTTTAGAAATCAGAAATCAGATGTTTGGAAATTAATCAGTTTTCTATTACAGTTTTTTATGTTTATACACAGTTTCAAAGATACCTAAACTTTTTAGTATTTTAAGTGCAAAATCCTGCCATTCCTTCCCCTCCTCTTTAAACCAATATCTCATCTAGTGCCCTTTATTTGTTTTTAGTTATAAATGTACATATGTGTTTATGCGAAGAGATTTTGAGGGTAGTGGAGAGGCTGGGGTCTTGCAAAGTGATTTCATCCAAAATTGGTGAACCTTGATGGAGTGACCCAGGAGAGCAGAACTTAAAGGAAACTTGGGAGCTTTGGAGGCGAGTAGTGAGAAATTCATAAGTTAAGTGAGCAACATCATTTCAGGAAAAGAAAGTTTTTAATGTTCACATCTTGAGATCCCACCTTTTATTCTTTTAAAAATATATTTTTTATTGGTTTCAGAGGGGAAGGGGGAGGGAGAGAATTCGATCAATGATGAGAGAGAATCATTGATCAGTTGCCTCCTGAATGCCTCACTGGGGATCGAGCCCACAACCCGGGCCTGTGCCCTGCCTGGGAATTGAACCCTGACCTCCTGGTTTATACGGTGAACCTCAATCACTGAGCCACGCCAGCCAGGCCCAGTTTTTTTCTTTTAAAGGCAGAAATCTCATCTACAAAATCTTAGTTGAGAATTTATTGTCTTAAAAATTTGGAAACCATACTCTGTGTGCATGAAACTAATACAAAATGATATTGAATGTAAACTGTAAATAAAAAATATATAAATGTTAACACACAAACAAAAAAATAATTTGGAAACCGCATTTCCTTTCTTACTCTTCTCATTCTCTTCCTTTAAAAGGAAATTAAGCACACATGTAATACCTAAAGGGAAAAAAGGGTACTATGCTAATAAAATCCAGTTTGTTTTGTACTTTATAGTTCAGAGTAAATAAGGTAGAAAGATTAAGGCCTTTTTCTGCCTCCACCTTCCTTTTAAATGTTGAACTCTGAGGGAGGGTCAAAGGTAGAGAGATCAAGGTGAAAGTTAGAGGAGGAAGTGAGGTGAGAATGGAAGGAGATGAAATGAAATTGTTTAGTGTATGGATATAGTTTAATTTCTGTGTAGTCACTGTGTAGAAAAGGAAACAGGGTTAGAGTTGCTACTGATCTTCAGTGTGGTGTTGTGAGCGTGTCTGAGTGTCTTCGGTTAGGGAGAGAGGGTGAGGAAGATAATTGGTGCATTCATGCAGTGCGGTTGGGAGACCTGGACATGGTACTAAAATCCAAGGAGAGTCTGAAACACTGGCTTATCTGGAGGGAGAATCTTTGCGTTCACTGGGGATGAATGAACAAAATTGCATTAGCACAGGGAAATGAGGTTGGAGACTAAAAAATAACGGTACTCATCACAACCCTAACGATGGAGAAATTATACCTAAGGAAAGACTGAAATTGGTACCTGGGTTATGTAAAAAACACACTTTTCTATCTCTCAGTACAAATTGTATTTCACTACTGGCAACTCGGAATCGGTTGTGCCGGAACTTGCTGATCACACCATCCATCCGCTCTTCTTTCGTAGGCGGCACTCCCCCTACCGCACACTGGAGCCCGTGCGTCCTCCAGTGGTTCCCAATGATTACGTTCCCAGCCCAACCCGTAATATGGCCCCCTCGCAGCAGAGCCCTGTGAGGACAGCTTCTGTGAATCAGAGAAACCGAACCTACAGGTATTTCCTCCGCCTCAGTGCGAAACGGCATGGCCACAGCACCATGGTTTGTTCAGACGAATCTCTCATTCTCCCAGCACCAAGTCCTTTTCCTCACTCTGCTCTCCCAAGCCTCATCTGACCCCACCTCTCTCCTCATGTCCTGATGCAACTTTGGGCAGTCAGGAAACCGGGGAGGGGGCGGGGGGACATGTTAGAGAACAGGCTTCTCTGCAAAATTAAGTTATAATTGACCTTAAAAAATCATGGACCAGATATGGGAATTTTCAAGTTGTTTTTTGGTGGAACTTTACAGATGAAAAACTACAGGCAGTAAAACATTAATATGGGATAATATATCAAGATACTGTTACAAATAAAATTAATCAAATAATCTGTTCAGAAGTTTCTTCAGACAGGCAGTAAACTGTAGTAAAAAGAAAGTCTTTTTTTATGTTTTGAGCCCCTTCATTTATCATTTATGTTTATAATTTTCTTTCTTTAATATATGCTTACTAACAGGTGGTCAAAACAAGTTTCTTGAACTCTGCTTTTTCCTCTACTAATTAAGAAATTCATGTGTGAGGTAGAAGGCTTGAGTTGTTCTTATCGTTACTATGTTCACCAGAGAGTGGGAAATGCTAGCCCCTGCACACACACACTCACGCCGGCTCCTGTCTCCAGCAGCAGCGGCAGCAGCGGAGGCAGCCACCCCAGCAGCCGCAGCAGCAGCCGGGAGAACAGCGGCAGCGGCAGCGTGGGCGTGCCCATCGCCGTGCCCACGCCCTCCCCGCCCAGCGTCTTCCCAGGTAACCGGCGGTGCTTCCGATTTCACGACCCTGGGCTCTTCGTAATCGGGACTTACGTTCCCTGGAGGACCCCAGCAGTGTCGGGAAGTCTTTATGATGCATTTGTTATTTTTAACCGAGTGATTTGCCAGTTTATGCTCACACACTTCTCTGCACTTAGTTGGCGCCATCAGCGCCGCGGGTGCGCTGAGGTTCCAGGTTCCCCCTGTGTTCCAGGGTCAGTTCCGCTGTGTGATGGCAGTGCATTCCTTGGGACAAGGGGGACTCGGTGTGAAAAACCATATTTATAACAAAGGGTTGGACAAATATCAAGAGTAATTTTGACAGTTAAATTTAGTGGAGCGTTGGAACTTAATAGTCTCTGAAATGCTACACTCTTTTCTCTGAAACAGAAAACTGTGCTTATTTTATCTGAGAACACCAAAGTTAAATTTAGTTTTAAAAGCACGACACAAATGACTTCGCGGTAGAATATCACATAATTTAATTTACTAATTTAACTTACTTATCTTAATAACAAATAGATATTACCTTTTAAAAAGTCATGGAAAAGAGAGATTTGTGTTTTTCTGAATGGTTTTTTATCTGATAAGATATTTATGTCTGGAACATGCTTTCTGATTTGGGTAATTCAGACTGGAATGCTGTTGTTTTTTAGTACTTAGTGTGGTATACCACTTACAGAATATCATGCTAAAGATTACAATAGGGAGGGAACATTTTTCTTGCAGAATAGTGGCTTTCCGGTAAAAAGGAATGCTTGTTTCTTAATGAATTAAAAAAACCTGTACCTTACCCTGGCGTCTTGAATTATTTGCTGCACACCTAATAATCCTCTAACATAAGCTTTATTCTCTGCTTTTTAACGCCCTCTTCTATTTGATTAGTGCTGAGCACTGAATGTCTAACATTAAGTTCTCTTACGCCTTCGCTCCCCCTGTCTAATGGGATTGCCTCATTAACGCCGCCTCTTCCTCCTCTTTCCCCTCAGCCCCTGCTGGCTCTGCTGGTACTCCTCCCCTTCCTGCCACTTCCGCCTCCGCCCCCGCCCCTAGTGCTCCTGCTCCTGTCCCCTCCGCTGCCCCAGAGGCCGCTTCTGGGGGCGCCCAGGCCCTTGCTGATGGCTTCGCTTCTCCAACTCCCCCCGTTTCTTCTGCTCCCCCTACAGGTGAGTGTTGGCTTATTCCTTGGCAGGCAACATCCGGTCATCTGGCTCTTACTACCTGAACTCTGGCTTTGTGATTTTTGTTTGTTTGTGCTTTGTATATTTAGAATAATTTACTAACTAGAAAATGGCACATGACCAAAGTAAAATGTTCTAAGGAAATTAGGATAAAGTTTCTCATACTTTTTTTCCCCAATAGAGCAGCACAGATATGTTTTCTATTGCTTGAATTTCATTTACTAGAGATTTATGAATTTATTATGGAGATGTCTTTTATAAACAGTTTTCGAAAGTTGTCATTTACAAATACTGTGATACAAGTTAGATTATTAAAAAGAAAAATCTATGGTAATTCTAAACTACAATTTATAGGAGATATTTGATGTAGCTGTCTCATAAGTCTTTTATAATAGAATCTTGCTTATTATAGCAGCATTGGGAACATAGACAATGCACTTTTAAAGAATTTCAGGTTTACTTAAGTGTTATTTAAGGTTGACTGGTGTTTCAGTGTTTTAAAATTATAACCTAAAATGTGTTTTCTGATGGGGAAGGAGAAAAGGGATCAATTGCTACAAGATATATTTGCAAAGATAATAGTGATGCTGGTTAGTAAATAAGCTCTTCTGATAAAAATGTGTTTGGTTACATATCACTTTAGTTTGCCAAGGACTTCATATAGTATATATTTGGCTCTGCTGCTATGAGCTGATGTTTAAATGTTAAAAGACACTTTCCGTTAAGATGGATTTTGAGTGGTGGTCCATGAGATAGCTTCTGTAACAGCACTTTTTAAGGCAAGCTTCCTACAGTGCGCAGATGTAAACACGGCTGTTCTCTCATCTACACGCAGCTCCGTTTGGCCGGAGGGCGCGGGAACGGTGGGAGTTTTGTTGCGCCCTGCATCGGTGAGGGTGAATAACATCCTGGAGTCATTGCAGGTGCCTCCTGTGGCAGCCCCGGCCCCTGTGAACCTGCTGCTCTGCCAGGGTCCTTGAAACGTGCTGGTGTAGGAGCTGCGGCCAGAAATGAGTGAGGTCCGGCCCGGGGCTGCCAGCTGCTGAGGCTCACGGTCAGGGGTCCGTGCGGCACCCGCAGACCGGGCCGTCCTGCCGAGGGGGAGGCCCTGGCACAGGTGTGCGTTTAAGGGGATGAGCGGCTGGCAGGAGAGCTGCTCCGCGCAGAGAGGACGCACGTTAGGGCAGATCTGAGTGCACTCATAGTCTTCATGTGAGCTCATGAGTCCAGGTTTGATAAATTTATGGAGTTCCTGAAGATGGATTTTTGTCATGTAAGACCATTGTACAGTCACGGATAACATCAAAAATGTGTTTTTGTTTCTTTTCTCCTTTCACTTTCCCTTCTTTCATCTCTTGCCCTTTTTCCTTTCCTTTCCCCTCCTCCTTTCTCTCCCCTTTATCCTCTCTCCTTCCCTTCTTTCTTCCTCTATACTTCACTCGTCTCCCTTTTCTCCTTCTCCTTCCCTTCTCTCCTCCCTCACCCCCCCTCCTAATTTTATTTTTAGAGAGAGTGAGGGGGGAGAGTGAGAAACTTGCTATTCTACTCACTTATGCATTCCTTGGTTGCTCTTGTTTGTGCCCTGACTGGAGATGAGCCCGCAGTGTTGGTGTGTTGGAATGACCCTGACACCAGTGAGCTCTCTGGCAGCCCGTCTCCCGCTGCTGGAGCGGTGGCTCTGGGTGCTCTGTCTGCCGCTGGGCCAGTGCACCCCCAGCTGGATGGTGTTGAGTGGGAGTGCAGGCAAAATTTAGGAACTGGTTTGCATGAGAAAATTGGATGGTTAGGAAAGACTGTCTTCAGTTGGCATTAGTTATTGCAATGCTCTCAGAGAGCAAACTATAATTAAATTGCTAAAAAAAAATGTACAGGTTTAGGGATATTAGAAATAAGATATATTTTGATTTGCTTTTAGTTTTTCTCATATCTGTAAGTTTCTTAAACTGTAATGTTAAAATAGAATATTCTAGTTTTAGAGATAAATGTCTTTGAATAAAGATGCGTTTGATTTAATTATGTCATTTGATCTTTTGCTAGAAATATTTTGTTTCCTTTTAATTGCTTTGCTACCTTACAGTTGTTGTTGTTCTTTTGGAATAAGTCTGTGTGTCAAACATTTTTTGTTTTGTTTTCCAAATGGCATTATTATTTTATTGAGTTTTAATTTTCAGTATTTTTAGTGGATTTGGGGGGGTCAGGAAGTGAACCATAAATTTTAGTTAAGTATGATGATTTTGAAACCCTCTACAATTATTAATTAATTAATTAATTAATTTTTAATATATTTTATTGATTTTTCACAGAGAAGAAGAGAGAGGGATAGAGAGTCAGAAACATCGATGAGAGAGAATCATCGATCAGCTGCCTCTTGCACACCCCCTACCGGGGATGTGCCCGCAACCAAGGTACATGCCCTTGACCGGAATTGAACCCAGGACCTTTCAGTCTGCAGGCCGATGCTCTATCCACTGAGCCAAACTGGTCTCGGCCAATTATTAATTTATTACAATTAAAATGTTAATAAATAATCTATTTACATGTAGCTTTTCCAAGCCTAATCATGAATCTACTCTCCTGTCTTTTCGCTTTGGTATGCAGCTGAGCACTGTTACCTTGCATTGTTTGTCAGATAACTAATGAGCTTAACTCTTATTTTCCATAATATTATAAGGTTCACGCACACCTGAAGTATTTCATTCCTGAGATGATTTCCTCTTACCGCATATTGACGCTCTTCCCGTTTCCAGGTCATCCCGTCCAGTTCTACAGCATGAACAGACCCGTCTCCCGCCACACGCCCCCGACGGTAGGCGGCTCGCTGCCCTATCGCCGTCCCCCGTCCATCACCGCACAAACGAGCCTTCAGACGCAGATGAACGGAGGCCCTTTCTACAGCCAGAATCCAGGTTAGATTTTCTTTTGCAGATTATAGAACATACTGGTTAAAATCTTCAGTCACAGAGGAAAAAACCTTTAGTTACAAATGATTAGCATATGCTAATTTTGAATAAATGGAGGAATGACTACAAGGTTACTAATACTGTATTTTCCATTTAAAAAAAAACCTCAATACATGGTTTCCATTTAAAGTTGTAGAACTTAATTTTTTTTAACAGAATCATTTTGAATGTGCTAGTGGTTATTTGCTTTTAAAAATAGTGTGGTAAACAATATTTTCTTCTTAGTTAATCAGATATCGTTGCTCTATGAATAGCATTAAATGAAAATTGAGTGTACATGGACAGAGTTTGTAAGTGGCAAAGTAAAAGGGACATTTTTTGAAGTTGCTTTGTGCGAAGGAGTTGTAGAGTCTTCTTCAATTCTCCTCCAAACCTATGGGAAAACGGACTTGGACAGATTGACTCAGATACAGCAATCACCTTTCAGTTGCATGCATGCAGAAGACTTAATCTCACATGTATGTAATAGTATATATAATAATTTTTGCTTCTCCAGAGAGGGTAAGAGCACATCTTAGACTTGACTATTGTGAACTTGGTATGTCAGCTTACTATGTTTTTCTGGATTTTTGTCAAGAGGCCAGCCAGGTTCTAGCTGGTTTGGCTCAGTGGATAGAGTGTTGGCCTGCTGAGTGGAGGGTTTCGGATTCGATTCTGGTCAAGGGCACATGCCCGGGTTGTGGGCTCGATCCCCAGTGTAGGTTGTGCAGGAGGCAGCCGATCAATGATTCTCTGTCATCGTTGATGTTTTTATCTCTCTTCCCCTTCCTCTATGAAATCACTAAAAATATATTTTTTTAAAAAGAGGCCAGTCAGTTCATTCCATATTTGATAAAACCTGAATTTAAAATGATAGCCTAAATTTTATGGAGTGGAAATCTGTCTCCTGAGGCTACTACCTTTTGGTGAAACCTTGTTGCATTTGGAGTCATGTAGAAGAAATATACTCCCCCTTCATAAATGCAACTTAAATAATACTTTTATACTTACCATTAGATTCTTATAAATATGCGATCATTTTCATCTGTATTTTTATAGGTGAGGAAACTAAGACTGAGGTGTGATGGTCAGGTTAGGATTTGAACTTATGTTATTTGATTCCATGTTCTTTCTGTTTTAACTATGCTACCTGCTTTTAGATGAAAAACAATCCTTTGCCTGGCCTGTGTGGCTCAGTGGTTGAGTGTCGACCTATGAACCAGGAGGTTTCGGTTTGATTCCCGATCAAGCCAGACACCTGGGTTTCAGGCTCCATCCTCAGGGTGGGGCATGCAGGAGGCAGCCAGTCAATGATACTTCTTCATCATTCATGTTCCTATCTCCCTTCCTCTCTGACATCAATGAGATAAAAACAACAAAACAAAAATCCTCCTCTTACCCTCTTATTGAGCTCTCTCTTGTTGGGAGGAAATGTCCACAGTGTAATGTAAAGTGCATCAGAGCCGGAGACCTTGCCATTCTGTGATACAGTTACCACAGGCCTGGTGCACGGAATTCGTGCAGGACGGGCCTGCCCTCCCCCGCTGCCAGCACCGGCTTCCCTCGCAGACCTGGCTTTGTCCGAAGGTTGTCCGGAAGGGCGTCAGGTCTAATGAGCATGTCACGCTTTTCGTATTAGAGACTAGAGGTCTGATGCATGGAATTTGTGCCGGGCGTGGCCCTCGCAGCTGCCGCAGCTTGCCTTGGCTGTTGCAGCCCCAGCTTCTCTGGAAGGTCATCCAGAAGGACGTTAGTCTGGCCAGTCTAATTAGCATATTAAGCTTTTATTGTTATACATATCCTGGGATAGTACTCAGCAACTATTTGTTAAATGTAGAATGAGGCCCTTATTCCTTTATTCAAGTCCCTTTATTGGTTTGGGTCTCTCTGGTAGATTAAATGCCAAATTTATAGTCTAATTATAGTGTGCCCTGTAGTGTGATTACCAACTGCCTTACTTAAAATATATGTATCTTACTGCTAGCTTTGATCACACTTAGTGAATTTGGCTGTACCATTCTTTTTAACTCATTTTGAGCTTAATTTTGACAAATCTGTCTTTTCATCCATTCTTTTATATCATATGGTCCCAAACCCATATTTGAATAGGAGCTATTTTGTATCTAAATGCATTTTTATTTTGAACTTGTAGTTTGTTAGATGTGGGTTATTTCATAGTTCTGAAGGTAAGCTCTCTCCCTAGACCTCTTAGAAGTCTAGACAACTGTTGCTTAGGGCCCTTATTCCCTTCCTTATCTTGGAAACAAATTTGAAAGCGTGTCAGTCCAAAATGGGCTGGTTCTGTACTGGAGCCAAGATGCTTCCTCTTACAGCTTGGGACCAACTGTGCATAATGCACAGAACTCATACTATACACAAGGGTATTTCACGCTGTGCACATGGCAGGGGAAGTTATATGAAGGCTGTTTAAGCACATATTTATACATGTTTTAAGTACTTATTTTAATATTTTTTCTTTATAAGTCTGATTTTAACATACTTGAAAGTATATGTTAAAGCAGAAGAATACCTTATGGAATGATGTTAATGAAAGTATTTTTTATGCTTATGAAAGTACAGTGAGTTGAGATTCATGTGAGACAATTTAGTTAGTTGGCGGTTTTTTTGGTTTTTCTTTTTCCTGTCCTTCTCTGTGTTAACTTCTGCCTTCTACTCCCTGGTTTGGTAACTATTTACAGAGGGTAGCTGGAGCTTTGCTAGCTGACTAATCAGTGCTTTTTCTAAATGAGTTTTTTTTTTTTTTTTTTTACTAAAACATGTTCTTTGAAAAGCATTCTTTCTCAACTCTTGTTTGCTTGTCAATTTCCTCAAGTCACATCTAGTCTTCTTCCCTGCTACCACCTCCACTAGCACTACCACATCTCACCAACCATCACCACCTCCAGGAAATTGTTACAAATAACTGTTGGGTTAACATTACTATTTTGTTTATGTGCCCAGTTAGAATGTGATCTCTTTGAGGGTGCTAACTCATTCAGTTTTAAGTTTTATTAGTCTTATCTGTAGTTTGGAGTTATTAAAGGTATTCTCTCTTTGTAAGAAGACCAGAGGCCTGGTGCATGAAAATCCATGCACTGGAGGGGGGGCTCCCCTCAGCTCGGTCTGCCCCCCCTCACAGTCCTCGGGAGTGGGAGGCGACCTGGCGATCAGGGGAAGACGAAGCCCCCATCACATCTCTGCTGCTGCCACTGCCGACAGCCCTTGTTACTTGAGGCTTGGCTGGCCCTGGGCGGCTGGGCAGCCCCCATCTGAGGCTTGCCTGTGCCTCGGGCCAGCCCTGGGTGGGTAGGCAGCTGATATCCCAGGTTTGCCTGCTCTTCGGGCCAGTCCTGGGCGGCTGGGGGGCTGGGGAATTGGACTTGGGAGGCAGGTGCGCATAGTGGTCAGACCCGCCTGGTGGCTGGCCCAGCCGTGCCGCGCGCCTGACACCCGGTGGGGCTGAGGGGACTGGGCACCGCCATCTTGTGGCTGTGGGCACCACCATATTTGAGGGTGTGGCAGTCAATTAGCATATTCCCTCTATTAGATAGGATGCTTGCCATACTTTATATCCATTCTGAAGGAAACTATAATTATAGAGTTAATCCTGGGAAATTGCTTGGCACATACCTGGCTTATCTGTGTGTTTACATACATCAAACATTTGTTGCAGGCTTACTAGTGCTAGACCAGGTGTTTGAGATAGAGTGGGGGAAGGCACCGAGAGGAGAGGAGAATGACTGGAATGAGGCTAACACTTTTCTGTAGGGCCAGGGAAAAAATGTATCTGCTTGAGCAGGTGGTATGAATTGGGATTATGAAAAATTTTAATGAAGGAGACCTGACTCTCAGAGAATGGTTTTGATATTGGTCTCTTAGTCTAGTGCTTGCCACTTAGTAGGAAGTCAGTAAATATTTAATTAATGAATAAAAAACTAACTTATTTGCTGGTTAATGTAATAAATTATAAATTTAGAATGTTGGGATGTAATGGGTTTTTCCCTTTTACTGACAAATATTTAAATTTGTAACCATCAAGGTAATTTCCCGAAACCCAGATTACCTGTTGAGTCTGAAGAAATTCTTTCTTTGAGAAGGTCTGTTATTGACATGAAAAGCTCAGTTTGCCATTATGTATTAGAGTAGGTCTGTATGGATAAATGAGTACGTCATGTTGTAATTTTTAAGAAACAGTTCTTAAAACTCTCCTAATACTTTGTTTTGTGTGTTGATGAATTACCCCTCAAAAGAGGATCCTTAATATATCTTATAACATGTTCGTGCATAGTATAGTGGTTTCCCTCCTTACATGTTCGTTTTATTGTATTATCCTTTTCTTTTAATGTAACTCGCCCTTACCCCTTATCCTCCACACCTTTTTTGTTTTTACAGTATCTCTTGCTCCTCCTCCTCCCTCCATCCTACAGGTAACTCCTCAGTTACCTTTAATGGGATTTGTGGCCAGAGTCCAAGAAAATAGTAAGTTTATGTCTTCCTTTATGCTGTAGATCAGATTGTAGGCATAAATGTCATTTATATGTGATTGGCTAAATATCCATTTGTTGATACTTCAAGTATTTGAATATGACAAATAATTCACTATGTGAGCAGTTAGTAGGGATGATAAAATAATTAAGATGAAATTCTCTACTTTCAAATAACTTAAAATCTGGTAATGAAAAAAAATTTGAATCGGGCACATGTAAGAAAAGAAAGATCATACCCGAGGTGTTCTTTAATCACTAGCTATCCCATTTCCCCCCCCTCTGGGATGCTCAAACATACTAATTTTTTATCGCTGGAACTTAGGCTTTTGTGGCTGGCCTGAGAATTTTCCTTTGGTCCTGTGATTCCAGGTGTAAAAATGGCTAGGCCATGGTAGGTCCCATGGAACCAAATTGCCTCTTTATTTCCTAAGAGGCCTCATAGATTGGCAATGAATTACCATTGGCTTGTGGTCTGGTGTTGAGTTATGCAGCATCACATAACTAATTTTATTGACAAATTGAGGCTTCTCCTAGGGAAGTACTAAGGAATCTCAGGAGACTGATGTCTGAAAAGCAGGAGGCCTGTATCTACATTCAGTGATGAATCACACAGAGACCAGTAAACATAGTCTGACTGGGAGATGGCTTCTCTGAGGAATTACATTGTAATCAGAAGGCTGCTTGATGGGCCTGGAATTTGAACAAGGGAAACTGCATTAAAGAAAGACTTAATGTTGTCAGGCTGAAGTAGCCCGTTAGCATCCAGTACCGGGGCCGGCCTCACCAGTGGGGTAGAAGATGTGCACGCTGTTGCTTAGGACCTTGATCCTTGGCCGTGGGCATTGCCGTTACTAGAGTGTAAGCTCTGCGAGAGCAGGGACTCTTGCCTGTTTGTTCATGGCTGTTTCCCCAGCACTTAAGCAAGCATCTGACACACACACTGTAGTCCCTCCCTTTTTGTGCTTCCCTCGATAACTAAATGCCCCGTTTTTGTTGGCACAGTTCTTCTTGTGTTTTCACTGGTGATGACCCAGTTTTCCTAGAGGGAGGGCTCACTCTGTCTTCCAGGTGTCTCTGCATTTCTACTTGCTAATTTCTGAAAATAGCTTCTATTGCTTCAGTGTAGTGGAGGGTATTCCATGAGCACCTCCAGTGTTACCACAATATGATTGCCTTTTGGGTTATCTTTTCTAATTTCTTTCCATGCCATATACATTTCTCACCTACAAAACATATAAAAATAAGAGGTGTATGAAGTGTGCTGTGTTTAAAGACATAGGAGGACTTATACTTTCAAATGTGTGTTGTCCTCTTAAAAACATTCACCTTGGAAAGATACACACCTATCTTTTGGGATTATCATAGCTTTCAAATACATTATTTTTAAGTCACTCTGTATTAAGATTGATGTTTGAAAGAAGTCTGGAATTATTTGGAACCAACTATTCTGTGCTAAGTGTGTAGCAGTGATCCCATTATTCTTAAAACCCTTCTATGGCTCCCCCTTGCTCTTTGGATAAAGCTCCAACTGTCACAAGGCCCTTCCTGCTTAGTCCTCTTCAGCTTCCTCAAGCCTCTTTCTGCTGAACTCGGGTCAGTTCTTTGCTTTCTTCCCTTTGGAACTTGGGTCAGTTCTTTGCTTTTTTCCTTTACATCTGACATGAAATATCCATCCCACCTCCTAGACATAAACTCATTTCTTTCAGGTTTCAGAAACCATGTAAGAGAGTTGGTCTACTCCTGTATTTTCCACAATGACTTAAAGCACTTACTGCATTTAATTATAAACAAAAGTTTGGCTGTCCATGTCTTCAAGACTTGCTCACTGCTCTATTCCCAGTGCTGAGTGTAGAAGGTACCTAACCATAGTGGGCTTTCAGTTGATGTTTGTTGAAACTTTATCTTAATGTTAGTGTGTTTATCTTATCCCGTAGTATTGTAAGCTTTTAAGATAATAAACATTGGCGTTTCAATTTCTGCTCTTCACTTACTTTTCTGTAGGCATGAAAGCCAGTTTTCGCCTTCATAAATTGGCCCTCAGGCAGTTATTAGAAAAGGTAAAAACGAGCAGTGGCAACATCTTTGAGTAACTGGGTAATTTCTCAAGGTGATTGTTTTGAAAGACAGAGTTCATTTGGATGTATATTTTTGTGGAATTGTTCAAATTCAAATAGGAAATATTATTGATTCTTACCCCAACTACATATAATTTGTCATAAACTTTGTTAAAATCACATATACGTTTTGTTTGTTAAAAAATACACATTATAACTAAAAGAAATACTTGTAATGGGTAAAGTTTTAAAGTTCATAAAGTAGGTACGTTAATAAGTGCAGAGTGGCCCAGCAGATGGGAAGAATCCTGGGAGAAGGCAGAGTTTGAAGTTTATAATCCTCACCGGTCAGCAGTCTTCTAAATTCATTTGATTCATTCAGTAGGTTTAGAGAAAAAAATAGAAAATAAACAGATTGCTCAGAGAATTTCACAGAAACAATACTGGTACTTCATAAATAAGAATTTGCGCTGTTCATTAAAATGGAACAACTGATCAATGCAACTCTCTTTATTCGGTTTATTTTGTTGAGCTGTGCTTGTGTATATCAAGCATTTTAAAAGCTTTGAGTTCCTGAGTTTGGAGATGATATTTAGACATTACTATATATGTTGACACCTGAGCTGTGGAAGCAGATCTCAATAAAGAGATATTTAAAATATTTTAAATCACTCATATATTTTTACCTTGGAGAAAGTCTGAAATAACCAAACTAAACACAAACATCTTCAGAGATGAAGTTACCTAAAATTATTTGTGATTTCTGCCCTGCTGATTTGGTAAGATGCTATATTTAAGAAATTCACTGAGAGAAAGAAGCAGATTATTAAACTTTGACTTTTCATTGGAGTCATTCTAATTTTTATAAACTAAATACACTTATAAGTATCCAAGTTATTAATATTTCTGATAATCACTTCTTAGATAGCATATAAAGCCAAACTATATTATATTGGCATAAACAGGTTCCAAGGCTCAGTTAATTATTTCAGCTAAACTTTATTCAGCATTCATACACACTAACCCCCGGGGAGGAGAAAGCCCTGCTTGGAGAGTGGACACTTTCTAGTTGGTGGAGGAATTCTCTTGCCCACTCATGTTTCTAAAGGTTATTTTCGAGTGTAGGTTTATAGTTCATGAACATAGCAGCTCAGCTTAGCTAAGAAATATAGAACTTTGCCTTAGGTGCAGTTTGTTTCAGCTTGGTACCTTCTTAGTTTCAGACACACCGCCCCCACCACCGCCTGCGGAAGAGCCAGTCTTTGATGAGTCGCCCCCGCCGCCCCCTCCTCCAGAAGATTACGAGGAGGAGGAGGCCGCCGTGGTGGAGTACAGTGATCCTTACGCCGAGGAGGACCCGCCCTGGGCCCCGCGCTCTTACTTGGAGAAGGGTAAGTGTCAGGCTGTGGGGAGGGGTGGGAAGAACTCTGCCCACAGGAATGACATGTGCTGGTACCGAAGAGAAGTTTTTGTTTTACTGATAAGAGAAATTTTGCTTATATTACATGTATATTCTTAGTTTGTAGGTTTTGTGGTTTTGAAAGCATGCTAGTACAATCCTGTGACTGTTTGTTTCTATTGATAACGTATTCTTCCTGTTGAGCATGCTCTTTGTGAATGGTTTCTGTAAGACAAAAGTAAAAAAAAGGGGGGGCGTTTCTGGAGTGCCTCAGGAAGAGGAGGATTCCCCCCCAATTTATTATTTCTGCCCCCATGGTTTATAAAGCTTCTTTTGTGGCATCTTTTATCAGATATTTCAGTTTAAGCATCTCCATATGAAACTTCCAAAGAAGAATGGTTTCTTCATTTCTTTACAAAGTAGTATTGGGCATTTCTTTTATTGAAAGTTTCTCTGAATATACCAGCTAACCATGCCATGGTGCTTGGGACACAAACTTCCAAATATTATCAGTACTAATCAGCTCAGAAAAAGGGGTGCTGTCTTGCAGGAAGTTTTAAGGAAATTAAAGCTACTCACTGATCTCAAAACTGGCCACATTTAGAATCACATGAGGAACTTACATTAAGAAATGGTAGACTTCCACTTTGGGTCAAAATAGAGCAACAGTAATTAGATTTATTCTCTCCTAAAACAGGAACCCAGAACACATTAAGGCAGTGGTTTTGAATCAGTAGACAATAGGCAGTGGTGGCCTCTGACCCCAGAGAGAAGGAACTCCAGGTGAGCCTGGGGTGCCCTGGCTTTCCAGGCCATAGTGCAAGGAGGATGTAACCCATACAGGGCGTGGGCATTGACTTGTACAGAGAAGGTAGAGATGGAAGCCGCAGAGAGGACAGAGCTTAGGAGATCTCTGGAAGGTCCCATTGAGTCTTGAACTGAGCACTGATTTGTACAGGTGTGTGAAGAAATGACCTGATACTGAAAGAACAAGGCAGAAAAATTACTGACATGACAAAGGCCTGGAAATAGTTCATGTTCCCAGACCTGTCAGAATAGAAAGACGTGTAATACACAAGGCGTAGAGAAGAGGCCTCACAGTATGTCCTCCTACTCAGGGGGCAAATTGGCCATAGATGAGAGTTGCTGTGGACTGCCCCAACACTGCTGCCTGCAGACCCTTGAAAGCATCCAGCTGATCTCAAGTAACTCAGCTGAGCTGCAGGACAAAACTCAATACTGTTCAACAAAGCCAGTGCACTAAAAAGTCAGGATTACAGTGGCTAACAGCCAGTTAATTGCAAGCCATGTAAAAAAGTAGGAAAATATCCTTTTAGTAACTCATAACTAGAAGAAAAGTCAGTTAATGGAAATAGACTCAGAAATGACCAAGATAATGGAATTACCTTATAAGGGTGTAATATAGCTATTATAAATGCCATATCTGTTCAAGAAAGTAAAGGAAAACATGAACATAAGAGGAAATGTACACATTTTTTTAAAAAGAGAAAAACTCACTTTTTTGAAGATAAAAAGTACAGTATTCGAAGAAGCAACCTTGATGGTATGACAATACAAACTATTCAAAATGAGGCATGGGAAAAAAACACTAAACACAGCAACAGATATGTGAGATAATATCAGAGTCTTTTTCTGCAAAAGATAAGATCTCATGTAGGAAATCCTCAGCAATCTACAGAAATCTGGTAGAACTAAAGAGTATAGGTTACAAGGTCAGTGTATAAAGTTAATTGCATTTTATTATGTCAGCAACAAACAATTGGAGATTGAAATTTATAAAACAACTTTTATAACATATGAAATACTTAGGGATAAATTGAATGAAATATATGAACGACTTGCATGATAAAAACTAAAACATTTAGATAAATTAATAAAAGCCTTAAAATTTGAGAACTGTATGATGCTCTTTGATAATTATTGTTGAGACTGGTTTTCCCCAAAATGGTATGTATATATGGAATACAATACCTATAAAAATCCAGAAGTCAGTCTTATAGAAATTGACAAGACGATTCTAAAAGTTATATGGAAATGCAAACGATCTAGTACAGTCAAAACAATCTGAAAAGAAGTCTGATGCTGGAGGAATTACACTACCTGACTTCAGAGTTCTAGTGGAAAGCTGCAGTGTGTAAGACTGGTGCTGGTGTAAGTATAGGAATATAAATCAGTGCACCAGAATACATAGAACTCAAATAATTCGTTGAGGAAAGGATAGTGTTTTCAGCAAATAGTATTGAACAAATGGATATCCATATTCAAAACATGAACTTCCACCCTTAACTCACAATACACATAAATTAATTTGAAATATATTTTGGATCTGAATGTAAAACCTAAACTATAAAAATTCTGGGGGAAAATGTAGGAAAAAAAACTTTATGTTCTGGGATCAAGAAAAAAATCTTGTGGAGACCACAAAAATACATGAAACTTAAAAAGAAAAAAAGTGATAAATTGAATTTCACTAATTAAACTTTTCTTCAAAGACACTGAAGAGATGATAAGGCAAGCCATATTAGCCTGGGGAAAATATTTGCAAAATAATTCACTAACGTGACAACTTTGAACACATTTTACCAAACAGATACATGAATTGCAAATAAGCACGTGAAAAGAAGCTCAGTATTAAAATTCGTTTTTTATTTATTTCAGAGAGAGCAAGGGAGAGGGGGAGAGAGAAACATCACTTGATGAGAGAGAATCAATGATTCGCTGCCTCCTGCTGGGGATTGAGCTTGAAACCTGGGCATCTGCCCTGGCCTAGAATTGAACCTTGACCTCATGGTTCATAGGTTGACTCTCAGCCACTGAGCCACGGTGGCCAGGCAAGCTGCTCAGTGTTAGTTATGAGGGAAACGCAGGTTAAAGCCACTGTGAACCAAACTCAGTACCATCCACCCTCTTCAATGGCTGCAATGACACACACACTGCACCAAGAGGGGGAGAGTGGTGCAGCTGGATCTCTCATATTTCGTTGGTAAGAAGGCAACATGTCTCAGTCTCTTTGGAAAACATTGGCAGTTTCTTATGAAGCCAGGCATCCCCCTGTCAGCTGATCTGGCCTTCCTTCCTGCGGTGGCTACTTACGAGGAATGACGATGGTGTTCACACACAGACTTGAATGTTCATAGTCGCCAAAACCTGGAAGCAACCCAAATGTTTTTAAAATGGTGAATAAATTAATTGTGGGATATATTCATCTATTCAATGAAATACTGTTCAGTGAAAAGGAGCAAACTCCTGTTATAAGCAACTATACGAAGGGATTTCACGTGTTACCCTAATGAAAAAGACCAAGAAAGATTCTTACTTTATGACTCCATCTACATGAAATCTAGACCAATGGTTTTCAGGGACCGGTTCTGGTAGATGAGGGAATCTTCACAGGGGCACAAGGAGTTGTGGGGGTGACGGGCATGTTGTATCTGATCGTTGTGGTCGTTATACGCTGATCATATATACAGGTGCATACGTTGGTGAAAACTCATCGACTTCTGCAATTAAATGCTTGTGTTTTGTATCTAAACTAATACCTCATTAAAGCTGCTTTTTAAGGGAGGAGAAAGAGCCCAAGGCACTACTCTAGGACTCGGCCTTAGGCACTGCGTGTAACAGACGCCTTAGCGGATTTTAACCCTGTCCTAGACAAAGGGAGAAGATCCTGGAAAACTCCCTGTTATTCCTTAAGAGAATAACATGATGAAGTTTTGCTTTCTAAAAATTGACTCTTTAGTGAACATGTAAAAATCTGGAGAGATTTGTGAGAGGAAAGTAAGTTTTGAGTCCAAGTAACTCTTTAAAGTTTTAAAGAATATGCCTGAATTGTTCCCTAAGCTGTTTTTAAGGGTTTGGCTTATTTCTGTTAAGTTCAAATCTTTTAAAACATGAAAACTGAATAAGCTCTTCCTTACTCTTTCTGACAAAACAAAAACATACCAGCTGTGTTCAGCTTATGATGGCTCTTATGCACGTGCGTGTGCGTGTGCGTGTGTGTGTGTGTATGTGTGTGTGTTCAGGCTGTTGTCTACTGACTCATTTTGCTATCTTAGACCTTAGGATCTGGTCTTAACCCTGCAAATTTGAGTCACAGAGGGAGTGTTTGACACATCTGCCCTCCAGGCCTATTAAATCAGAGTCTGTGGGACTGTCAGAATTTTTACAAGTTCCTCAGGTAATTCCAGGGTTGAGAACCACAGCCATAGAGAAGGTTTATTGTAACCTTTGATTACTGCCCATCATGTGCCTGGCATGATGTAAGACTTATTACACATGTAAGATAGTTTCCCCATCTTGCAGACTAGAAAATGAGGTTAAAGGTAATTTGTTAGAGAAAATAACAGAAAATGTTAGTGAAAGAGAAAAGACAGTGCATCTTATAGTTATTAATGATAATAAAAGCAGCTAGCGTTCATTATATACAAGGCCCCGGGCTGGGTGTTGTCTGTGCATTGCCTCATCCAGTAGAGCAGAGCTTTGGGGCGTTAGCACTGTTGTCGTTTCCGTTGGACAGTGGAGCAAAGAAGTTTCGGGACGTTAGATGTGTTCTGATCTAAGAACTGCAGAGCTGGCGTTCGCACTCAGTGTGTAACTCCAGCGCGCACATTCCTAGCCATTCCTCAGCTGGGGCTTTGGCAGACCTGGGATTGAGTGTCTTGGCTGTACAGTTTACTGGCATTAAATTCTTCGATTCCCATCCCTTCCAAGCCATCTGATCTTGTGTTCTTCCAGGCCAATGATATAACTTCTTTGTAGAAGTGTCAACAATGTATGGTAATTTATCAGGCAACATTTCTGTCTTTATAAGACCATTGTCTTGCTCATCTTCCTATGTCTAAAAGTCAGCATGGATGCTCCAGTAATGATTGTCAAAAAATGGATAGTTCCATTAATCCTGTCTGGGGATTCCAGGAAGCTTGTCGGAGGACATTTGTGATGTGCCCTGAACAGTGAAGAATTCTCAGGCAGAGGGGAGCTAGCAAGGCCTGCAGCAGAGGATCCTCTGAGTGAAGGCACCGTGTTTGGCACGGTGAGCAGTGCCAGTGGGAGGGGGCGCGGTGGGTTTGGGGGGAGAGGGCCGGGGTGTGTGTGTAGGAAGTTGTAATGGGTGACGGAAGGCCTTGAGTACCATGCTGAGATGTTTGGATCTTTTTCCTTTTTAAAAATCTGATGGTAGAAACTTGTGGAAGATTTTCCAGCAGTTGATGGTAAGTTCCCATGTACTTGCTGGCAACATGCAGATGCACTAGAAAGGAAGCAGGGCCCTGGAGTGTGCTCGGTGGGCGCCGTCCTGTGCACCGAAGGCTGCGGGTTTGATGCCCAGCTGGGATGTGTGTGAGGCAACTGACCGATGTTTCTCATTCACATCCATGTTTCTCTCTCTCTCTTACTCCCTTCCTCTGTAAAATCAATTAAACTTTTTGAATAAAAGGAGGAGGAGTTGGGAGACCAAGTTGGATACCTTTCTGAGGAAGAGCTGAGGGCCTTAGCTACAGCAGAGGCGCTGAAACCTTGTTTTCCCACTAAGCTGATACAAATGGAAGTATTTCCTCATGTGGCACTGTCACCCAGTTCCTTTAACTCCTTCCGAGTTACTTGCTGAAAGTAAAATAATGTTCCATCTTTAAAAATGTTTTATATGTCGACTGATAACTACATTAGTCTGAATGTTTGTTTAAAGCAGTGGTCGGCAAACTCAGTCAACAGAGCGGCAGACTGCGGCTTGTGAGCTTCATGTGGCTCGCGAGCCATGGTTTGCTGACCACTGGTTTAAAGAAATGGTGCCACCTAACTAACCTGCAAAAGGCTGGGTTACTCGGTGGAGTGATTCTCCTTTTAACGTCACACGAATATTTTGGACGGTTTCTTTGGTACTTTAAGACAGTGCTCTGCACTCACACGTAGGAGGATATACAGGAAATGAGAACGGCTGTGACTGATGCCTGGCTCTCACGTCAGGGCAGTTTGGGGAGCAATGTTTATAAAAGTTGGGACTCCAAAAGGAGTTTTCCTTCATCATCAGACACTCACACGCATGGGGAGTCTTCAGGCCCCCGGTCAGGAATGTTCCGGATGAAGACGCTGCCGACGGTGGTGAGCGACATGAGATGACGGAGGTGTTGGTTTTGAGCTTTAGGAGGTGGAATTAACGGGACTTAGGGACAGTCTCCCTTGAATTATTTTTTCATTGGGTTTGCATTTTGGTAAGCATCGAGTGTTAACTAGGAGTGATAAAAAATATTAGGTTGACTAGAAATAGTAAAGACTTTACATGTCTTATTTTATAGTTAAACTTTTTTGTCATTTAATATACACTGAGTGGCCAGATTATTATGGTCTCTGAACACATAATCTTGCCACTCAGTGTGTGTGTGTGTGTGTGTGTGTGTGTTAGAGGCCCAGTGCATGAATTCCTGCATGGGTGGGGTCTGGCCAGGGGGAGGGGACATGGGCAGTTGGTCAGCCTGCCCGTGGAATTCCTGGTTGAGGGGACAATTTGCATATTGGCCTTTTATTATATAAGATATACACCGAGTGGCCAGATTGTTATACCTTCAGAGATCATAATAATCTGGCCACTCAGTGTATACTGGTGTTAGGAGTTTGGTTATGTTTTGAGAAATACATACTAACTTCCTCCTAGGCCTCTCTGAAGTATTTTCTGATACAAAAACTCAATTTAACAAAGCCTTTTAATTCTATTAAACTAGGTCAGATACACAAATGAACTGGGGGCAAGTTGCACTGTATCATAAACTGCTATTGTAGTTTGTTTCTTTTTTATGCGAGGTTTAAAGTTACATGAGAAACTAACCAAGTCAGTACAGTATGCTTCTCAGAAAGGATGGGTAGATGGAGATCGTTGAGTGATATAAAAAGGTACCGAGGATCTCTTTACAAAAAAGAGCAATCTGCTAGCCCAGCATGGCTCAGTGGTTGAGCGTCAGAACCAGGAGGTCATGGTTCACTTCCCAGGCAGGGCCTGTGCCTGGGTGATAGGCTCCATCCCCTGAAGGATGCAGGAGGGTGGAGGAGGCAGCCAGTGCATGACTCACTCTCCATCATTGATGTTTGTTTTTCCCTTCCTCTCTGAAATAAGAAACAATGTTTTGTTTTGTTGTTTGTTTTTTAAATAAAACTTCAAGTGGATTTGAGCAGTAGGTTCTCCCAGATTATAACTAAAGTGTTGAGGTAGATGCAACTGGAGCCTGAGGCTGTCCCTGAGAATATCGCAAAGCCCCAGCTACCAAGTTATTTAAGCAATGACGATTTCAGGAGAGCTAAAAGGTACCTTGGCTTCCGTGACACTGTAGTGTGTTATGGGGTGTGTTAAATTGGTAACATAATGCCCCGTGTGTTTTGAGAGTGTATGTATAATGGACTCCCAGCATTTGTGCATAAAACCTGTGGGAACTCAACTATCTTCCTCAGTGACTCCAGAAAGTGAGGAGACAAGTCTGCTCCTGTCCCTTTAATCCATCTCTTCTTCTCTCTCTCCTCTCATGGGTTTCTCACTGCACCAGACAATTCTAATGTGGAAAGACGTGTTTGACACGATACAAGCTCAGTCTTTCCCGATCCTGGGATTGTGTCTCCCCTCAGTGCGTGTTTCTCCGTGGGCCGCTGATCGGGAACTTCACTGATTCCTTTGCCATTTAGACTGCCTGGAACCTAACCTCCCGGAGAACATTCGATCCCAGTACACAGGACTGGGTATTAGGAGAACAAGAATTTTGGTCTGTTTAGAAAGTTACTGTTGGAGGTGCTGTAAAAGTTGGGAGAGGATGGATATTCATTCGGCCCTATCTTTGTAGGAATCTTATTCTTCACATCCTATTTTTTCCTCTCTAGTTGTGGCCATTTATGATTATACAAAAGACAAGGAAGACGAGCTGTCTTTTCAGGAAGGAGCCATTATTTATGTCATCAAGAAGAACGACGACGGCTGGTACGAGGGAGTGATGAACGGAGTGACGGGGCTCTTCCCTGGGAACTATGTGGAGTCCATCATGCACTATTCCGAGTGAGCTCGCCGGCCGGGGTGTCCCTTCCCGCCCCGCGGACTTCAGCCCTCCCGGGCCGGCACTCTCCCAGTGAAGCGAATGAAGGACACAAACGGTAACTACGTATGTATTGGGTTTCCCCCCCGGTTTATCCCCCAGTATTAAAACAAAAAAGCAACCTAATTGTGAACAAATGGATCTTTCTGTCATCATTTGTACTATGCTGAGCGGTCTGGATTGAAATAAAGTGACCCTTTCTGAATATGTAGAGGAATAACAGCATAACTGTAAAACGAATCTGGTTAAGACTGATTCAGAGCAAAATCTGGGATCTTTCTCAGGAATACTGTACCTGTGGCACTGGCTGTTCTTCAGTGCCTGTGCCAGAGGGTTAGCCCTGTGGCCTACTGCGTACCCCACTTCCTTCCACCCGTCTTGAGGAGGGAACCGATGTTTGAGTACCGTACTGAACCATTTTTAGTTGTTTCTGATGGCTCATTTCCTCGCACAGGTAAATTGTCCTCTCTCAGTACTTGCGAATACCAGTGAATGCTGAACTGACTTGCATCCCTTTGTTTCTCAATCTGTAGATGATGATAGAATGAGTCTCCCAGCATTCTGAGGGTGGTTGGCGGTGGCCAGTGTGACTGAATGTGCTGCTGCAGCATGAGACTGGTGGCCCCGAGGGCCAGGACACCAATGAGCGTAGTGGCCCGGCTCACGTGCGGAAGCAGGTGTGCGATGCTGGCCGTGAAGGCGCTTAGGGCTCTGAGGAGGTTGGACTATAGAAATGTGCTGCCCAGCAGGATCCTAAGGCTTTGCCTTGGGCCCTGGTTTGAGAAGCAGGATTTTGGAAGTTAGACCAACTATTTACTTTCACTATTGAGAAAAACTTTCTTTTTGAGGAAACTAGCAGTTGTTTTCAAATTTCTTGATAGTCACTGGGAATAAAAGGCTTGCTGCTGTAATCCTGGAGTGATGTTAATGGCCAGTGTTAGCTGCTGCCGAGTTGTTGACTCACTTGACCTAGAAAAGGGAAATACTCTCTTGGTTTTGTGGTTGGCCTTGGAAGTAGCTTCCTTTGGTGAGAATTTGAACCTTGTTTCTCAGACTAAGAATAGTGGGGTAAGACCAAATATTTATCCCCTTACATAGATTAAAAACTGATAGGACTTTGCAATAAAGCCCTTTTTTTATAGCTACAAGTTCAGTGGAGTCAGTAAGATGGCTTGAATCCTTTCGGTAATCAGTATAAGAAGTGTTTACAAAACCCAGGAGGGCTTTGCTGCTCACAGGTGAAACTCGGTGATGAACCAGCAATGGTTAGGCCCCCAGTCATGGCTCTTCCCAGGCCCAGTGACTTGGCCAGAGAGCTTTGCCAGGCGACTTCCCTGTGTGGGTTCAAAGGGGAGAGGTACTAGCTACATATACAGTTGACCCTTGAACAACATGGGTTTGAACTGTACAAGTGGATTTTTTCAAGAAATATACAGTCAGCCCTCCATATCCCTGGATTTTGTATCTGCATTTTCAACCAGTTAAGATTGATAATAGTATTTTCAACCTGCAGTTGGGAACCACAGATGTGGAGAACCAGCTGTGTGCATTGTTTTAGATCATTTTGTGTAAGCGACTTCAGCATCCAAGGATTTTGGTGTGTGTGTGTGTTCTGGATTCGATCCCCCACAGATAAAGAAGGCTGACGGTAGTAGTTAAGTTGTGGGGAGTCACTATAGGTGGATTTTCAATTGCCTGGGTCTCAGGGTCAACTTGTGTTTCACACGTAAGCCTTGAACATGAACTAGTGCAGATAGAGGACGTGATTGAAATGGACGTACCTGGTGGCAGTGTGTGAGGGAATTCAGACGGTGCAGGGGGAACATTCCAGTCGTGAGTCTATCAGGGCACAAAACTTCGCCATTTGACTGAGACCCAGATACAGTTCCATTGTCAAGACTTTTCGTTGTAAAGTTGAAGACCCCTCCCCACACCCCTCACATATTGCAAGTCAGCCATTTTGCTTTTAGCTCTCTTTAACTTTAAATTTGACTTTGCCTCCATGTTTTCGTGAGATCATCCCAATACCCTTTTTATCCTGTTTTCCTTTGAAATAATGGCCTTGAGTGTCCTCTGAGCTGTCGGCTTCGTTATGAACCCAAACTAGACTACTTGGACAGGTTAGCTCTTCTTGGTGTATAACTAGGAAAACGTTTACAATGGTATGCTCCAATTATTTATTTAAATACCTTTTTTGCTGAGAAAGCTTAGGGTTTAATAAGAAGATATTTGAAATCCAGAAAGTAGTTCCGTACCGCACACCGATGGCAGACAACTGCGCATCCAGAGTTGGCAGCAGCGGCTTACCTGTCGGACTGTTGCTGTTGGCAGACGACACTGGTGGTGCCGGCCTGAGCAGGGGAACCACAGGTCAGCTGACCTCTCTCTGTATTATTTAGTACTAATGTGTGATTTCAAACTATGTTTGATTTTCTGCATACTTTAAATTTTTGTACAGTTTTGAACTCTATATATTGTCTTAGAAGGATATTAAGTAACAATGGGCCAGGCCTATAGTAATGGGAGCCTTTAAAGTATGTGACATTTTATAGATTGCATGCTGTTAAGTCTGTGAGGATAGTATTTCTTGTTTTGTCAGTTTTCCCATTTATCTTTTTATAAGTGAGATGAGATAGTGGGCAGTAGGAATTCCAAATGAACGTAGAAATCTCACATGCTACATAATATTGTGGCAAAGGGGATCCAAGACTAAATCTGCTGACAAGCAAGCAACCTTATTATCAGGATATAATCTAACTGGAATTTTTTTCCTTTTTGACTTGCTGTCCAATCTCTATTTCCTTAAAATAATAACTTTTAAGTCACTCCTTTTAACTTTTAAGTCACTCCTTTTAACTTTGTTTGAAAGGCCATGGTGGTATGAATGAAAATACTTTTGTCATTGACCTAACGGCCAAGGCAGTAAAGTATCAACGTGTCAAAATCTAGACCCATGGTCGGCAAACTGCGGCTCGTGAGCCATGTGTGGCTCTTTGGCCCCTTGAGTGTGGCTCTTCCACAAAACACCACGGCCTGGGTGAGTCCATTTTGAAGAAGTGGCATTAGAAGTTGTTTAAAAATTTTGGCTCTCAGAAGAAATTTCATTTGTGGTACTGTTGATATTTGGCTCTGTTGACCACTGATCTAGACCTGAGGTTCAGTCTGCTGTGTTTGAAATAAAGAGTATTTCCCTCAGTATTTCCCATCTTTTGGCTCCTTGCTGTCTCCCTCAAGGCCACTGTAGAGTTGGCAAGGGCCTGCGACTTCGCTGGGTTTCCCTGGAGGTCACCAGGTGAGGCCTTCTATTCCCCCCGTCCTTTCCCCTTCTGCATATCACCCAACTAGAATGTCTCATGTCGCAGGGATTTCTGCAATGTGGCTTTGCTCCTTGGAATCTTAGGTTGGTTGAAGATGATTTGCGAAGCCTCAGAATGGTAGTTTGCTTTTGTCCTTTTGTGTCCATTTCCTTCCAGCAGGTTACCACTTGCATTAAGAACTATTTTCATTTTTATTCAGCGGAGAACAGGGCCACCCTCCCTTTGAAAAGGACTCGGTGGAGGAATTAGCAGGTGACTGCCAAACCTGTGAAAGAATGGGGACCATAAACTCGATTGGTGATTTCCCTCACACGATTTATTTAGGATCGTAGAATTTTAGAGTTAGATGAGATTTTAGTTCAATCTCATTTTACTGATGAGGTTAGATGGTTCATTTCTGATAAAAGCTAATTAATAATGGTAAAGTTTCTGACTCTGCCACTTACTATTTCTGCAGTGTCTTAAATGAATGTGCTGTATGTTTCTTCAAAAATTGAGTTCTCTTTGATGTCTTCAGAAAGATACTTGATACCACCACAGTATTTGTTAAACTAAACTTGTTTAAAGGAGTGTACTGACTGCAGTACAAATGGCCTTTCCCGTTAGGTGTTTGCAGCAGAAGCATTATTTCAGCACTGGTAGGAGCACAGCACTGGCAGGAGCACAGCCAGCAGCCTTATAAACCAGGTTTTTGTTAAACGGACATTGCCGTCATTATCTTAGGTTTGCTTCATGCTCATTTTGTTCCTAGTTCTTATTGAGAATCAATCACATCATTCTTTAAAGGACAAATAACCCTTGCTAAATACCTTGAGATTTTTTTTCTTTAATAAAAAAAAGCATCCCAAAACGAAAAAGCTTATTTTATCATCTTTTGCAACTTATAAAAACTGCTTTTTCATAGCATTCTAATATTTGTGTCCCTGAATGGTTTACAAAAAGAAAATAAACAATTTGTGATCTGGCCAGTTGTACGGTAAAACCACAGAAAACTGAGGGAGCAGTCGTTGCCAGTAATGTTCGTGTGTGTGCCATTAAACCACCTCCAGGAGTGGGGGAGCATTCACTTCTTAATTTTGAAATTGTATTTGGAATGTTGCTGTGTACTAAGAACCTGACCTAAATAAAATTCCACAAAGTAAGTGTCTTGTGAATATATTTATGCAAGTAACCTCCTTTCTTTCTAAGGTGGTATCTAATACCACATTTGCTCCTTTTTTTGTTAACTAAGTCTTAAAACTTCAAGTATTTAAAATGTGGAGCCTTAAAAGAATTAAGTTTTATCATTTTCCGAAACTAGGAGAAAAGTGATAAAGTGACTTGTAAATATACTTTTACACATACCTTGACATAGCAGTCCAACACAATTGTGATACCAAAGGTTTGTACAAAAAGGATCCCTTTGTATTAGATGTTTTTTTTTAAAACAGAAGTGCAAACTATTTTTAATCAAAGCTTCCTAGTTTGTTTACTTAAAGATGAACCAATTGAACACTTCAAATTGTATTTTATTTACTTTCCCACTTAATCTGTTCTTACTGCACAACCGGTTTAGGGTACCCCAGCATAAATAGCAAAACCAGGTTCTTAATGGTGCCGATCCACAAACAGTCAAGTGAAGTTCCCATGTTTAAACGAAATCTATGTATTATTTTTATTAAGGGTTGGGTAAGCTGACATGGTGAAAACAAATTTACACTGACTGTGTGACCACTGTCCTAAGCCATTACAATACTTCACTGGCAAGAGTAACTTGGAAAATAACTTAATCTAGCAGTAGAACAAAAACATCGTCAGTAGTACTGAATATATCTCTCTCATATATATATATATATCTATATATATATCTATATATAGGTTTGCACAATCAGGGAGCAAGGCACATAATGAAATGAGAGCGAACATTTAAACAAAATAATAGTAACAAAGCTGAAAGAAAAATTGTAACTTCATCTTTACCGAGCTGTGCATAATCATTTGAATAATGTCCTCTATCGGGTGCTTTATAATGCAGTTCCTTCTGTCTCGTCATGCTTTAAAAAAGTACATTCCTATATTGAATCTGTTTGTTTATAGCAAAGCTTCCCAGAGCCTACATGTCAATGTGAGCCTTGATTTAAATTTTTTAAAGAAATGGGAAGAGAGGAAGCAATCCCAGTTAAATATTATGTGCAATTTTCCTTTAAAATAGTAAACAATGTTTTACACCATTTAGCACAAGCTAATGATATTTTATTTTAAATGTACATTTCTATAAAAGGAGTTCACTAGTGACAGACAATAAACTTAAAAATCATTTGAAACATTCCAGTTAATGCTTACCTTGTAGGAGAGGTTATTTACAAGGAAAGGAAAAATATGGGAGACGGCAATCACGGAAAATGGCAGTTTTTGGTATTCGGTTACCATGAGTTCAGCTAACAGCGGGCAGTTCCAAAGACGATAAGGTTTCCCTCTCAGTGCTGCATGTATGAGCGCGGTACCAGCAGCCGCCGTGGTCACCCCCCACTCCTGTCTTTGGTAGAAAGCAGCCATCCTCACCAGGCAGACAGCCCTCTCTCCTGAGAGAGTAACTCTTCTATTTTTGCATAAACTAGAAATACCTCCTTTCCACTAGCACCTCAAAGTTGGCTTGTTAGGTTTTTTTAATGCTATTCCTTCCAAAGAGTTCAAGGCACTGGGGATTACAGCAGATACTGTTTTCTCTTCAAAATGGTTCATTACTTGAACAAGCAAAGAGCAAACCAATTGGAGATTTCCCCCCTCCTAGTGTTTATCAAGTATATTGTTTGCTTATTTTTGTTCAGTAAGTTTACTTTACAGATAAATGTTAGGTTTCTTTTACATACAGACCTTCCAAGGACACAACAGTGTAACAGAGCTTATTTAAGGGACAGACCGTAAGGTGTTAAAGGAAAATAAAAAGATAATGGGATATTTATTTCCTACCTGCCTCTCTGTGAGTCAAATCTCGGCGTTAGGAGCGGTCACGTGCCCATGAGGATGGAGGCCATCCTGCTTTATACTTACGATGCCAAGTGTACAGAACAAAACTCAAAGTGCCAAAAGGTACTTACAGCCTAAAGTGATTTTGAGAGAGAGAACCCTCTCATCAAGTGTATAAATCCAAACTATTCCTATTTCACTTAAAGCAAGTCAGGGTCATTCAGGCTTACTTGGTCTAAACGTGAATAAAATCTGAGAGAGACATATGTTTCGTAAACATATCTGTAGATATGTTTCAAAAATTTGGTAAGACTAAAACTATTTTTTTATGCATTACAATTTTTAACATGACACGTTTGTGTTGCAGTTAGAGGAGGAAGGCAGGCCACACAGTTCTGATGGTGACCTGATAGTCAATTCCACATCATTACCTGAAGATTTCCAGGTTAAATTAACAACTGTTTTCCCAGAATAGCAGCTTCTGAAACTTGAATGGGATGCACAGCTCCTGTGAACTTTGACCTCAGAGTTGTCACTCTAACTTTGTTGAAACTGTCTTGGTAACCTCGGCACTGTTGTCAGTGGCAGTAAACTTACAGAGGGAGGGGCTTCTAAGATAGTGCACAGCCCTTAGCAGAATATGCCCTCGGAGGCCAGCAGCACCTTGATTTTAGAGGACTGGAAACACCATGTCCAAATTACTTTGAAATTTTCTGATTAAAGTCACGTCCAGTAACTCGTAAGAGTCAGCAACCTTTCTCATTTAAAAGTCAAATTTTAAAAATCCAATTTACAGTTAAGTGGGCATCTGTAAAAACCTTAAAAATAATTTAAAAAAGAAAAAAAGTAGTTATTTTTCCCAAGTGAGAATTATATATGTATTTTTTCGAGTAATAAAAGCCACGGTGGTAAATTTCAATAGAGAATAGCCTAACGTTTATATTAATGCCTATAAACCCGATCGAAGTTGTTGCTGACTTCAGTTGGTACCAAAATGTTAATTGGAGGGTGGTTAGTGACACCGTTAAGTTAATTAACCAAGTCACTAGCTCTAATAGGCAACTGTCTACACTGCCTTCAACAGCAGGATGTTTGTCCACATTCAGAACAGCCAAGTCAGCTGTCCAGATGTTCTTTGACGTGGAGAACCTCTGCTGTGGAACAGGAGGCAGTGAGAAGGCACAGAGCAAGTGTCCTCCCCCAGGGGTTACCGTGCACACACCAGAGAAAATAACAAAAGTAGCCTCAAAAACAAAACACCCTACAAAACTTCATCCCAGTAAAATCCAATTAAAAATCACCACCAGGGAGCTAAAACACTGGAAGTATAATCTAAAGTGTTTTTTTGTATTTTTAAAATCTGTTGTTTCACCATGACAAATGGGGGGGAAAGTAGGTTAATAGCCTTTTCCATCTTTGGAGAGATGTACGCAGCCTGTGGTCAGTTCCTGCCCTGACCCCGCCCTCTCCTGGGTGTCCTAGCGCTGTTCTGCTCTTTGAGGAGAAGGATGCACCAACGCACCAGCCTAGGGGGCTGTCCTCGGCACTGACTCAGCACCAGGGCCGAGGAAAGCCCACACTGGAGAACCAGGCTGTTATCTCAGGGTTCATCACTGACTGAGGGTATGTCACACGTTGTCCACCTTCATGTACCAATGACACCAATACAGTAAAACCCCTACTGCATATGTCATTGGATTCCTATTAATAGCTCTTTTACTTCACACACTGAAGCTTGGCAATCTATACTCAAATGTTATCCAAACTGCTATGCATGCTTAAATCAATAATGCAGATGTGTTAAAGGTCACCATAAGCATAACAATCTCAAGCACACAAACCTTGTGAACAATCGGAAAGACCCAAAAAGTATCTTCTAAAGAAGCGGGACTTTAAGAAATGCACAATGGTGTATGTTCTTAGTAAACGTAGTGAACAGCAGCCCGCAGACGTGGCAACAGAAAGGCAGGTGCCATTTATGATGCAACATGTCACTAGATGGGTTACACGGGTATTGGGACCCTGCACACCTAACTACCACTTACTCTAATTCCCACTGCTCCAGCGCAGGGCACAGCTTTTCCTTCGGGGGCAGTGTCAGCGGATTTCCGCACTGTCATCCTTCGTCACACAGACAGACTCTCATTACAAGATGTGCTCCCGTCACTCCTGGGGTAGCTAGTTTTTGTTCTTTTGTTTAAGAGCAGCTCTGAGATTGCCTTTTATTCCTGATGGTCAATTTATCATATTTCCCTCAGATACAAAAGGAAATGCACAGGGGAAAAAAGTGCATGAAGTGTAGCATGAAGCATACAGGCTTACTGTGTCATTAGAGCAATGATTTCATGTTATGCCAGACTGCACATGCACAACATGTAATGCCCCTCACTATGCTGGACTCCACTGCTCCCCCGGAGAACACTGGGAAGGACAGCTGCCCACCCCTGGCTGTAGCAGCGTCTCCGAGCTCCAGCACCAACCGCATTCACTGCCCCTCCATGACAGGCTCCACGTTACAATCTGTGCACAACCTGACCAATGGCACCTGCACAGGCCAGTTTGTTCCTTTGGAATCACCCTGGCCTTCTAGAGAGCAGTATGGACATTTCAGAAGGTGACTTTGCTTTTCATAATGATGCACTATATTGGACATAGGATGGGAAACATGATATAGCAACTGTTAGAGATCTCTAAGACCAACATCTAACGCTGGGTGGTTCTTACAGCGAGTCAAAGCGAGGATCGGGAAACCATGGAAGGATTCCAACAGCACAAAACGCCCAAGGTTACAGTACGACACTGTCCACGTGTTGTAGGCAGAGGACATCCCAGGGTCAGCGGGTCACTGCGCCCTCACTGCACAATGTAGCGTCTGAAATCGCCCCATGCGGCACTGCTACCCGTTCTAGGAAGCTGAGAGGTTTTCCTGGTTAAAGTGCCCCTTTATGTATAGTCATGAAGTGTCAGTCAAGAGTTCTAACTTTAGCCAACCGGGGAAAACCAAACACAAAAGCCCCACCGAGACACCAAACGTCGTGGTTGTCTTCAAACAGAAACAGCACATGACACACCTCCTCAGTATATGATACTTCACATGCACAGGAGCCGCACATGGAGACCTAGAATGCACCTTCTAAAGTCAACAGAAGTTGTTTTTAGGTCCCAATCCACATGACAGATACTAGAAATCGCAAGGGACAGGACACAACCCCTTCCATGCTTCTTCTGCCCAAAATACACAAAATCCGTTTTCAGATTATGAAAGGGAATAAATAGAATCACTCCCAGCTCTACATATGCATATACACACACCCACACACACTCACTGTATAGGTATGTACACGTACACACACACAGCTGGACTCTACCTGGAAAGCACACCGGAAGGAAGGCTCTGACACCTGAACTCCCAGATGGCCAGGCGAGCTGATTGTAGACGGATTACAGAAACAGGGAACACACCTAGGCAGCTACCAGTCTCTGGAGAGCTTGGTGTTCTGGTCTCTCTTTGGGGGGGCGGGCGGGGGCCCCCTCCGCAGGGTGGCATAGCCGGATATGTGGCTGCCCCCGTAGCCGGCTTTCCGCTGGTCGGACAGCAGCTCGGGGGGCGGCGGGGGCAGGGCCATGTCGTCCATGGTGGCCGTGGGTTCTGCTCTGGACACGCGGGAGGAGGAGAGCGAGCCGTGCCGTGTGATGGACTTGCGCTGCAGGGTCCGGTTGAGGTCGGCCAGGAAGCCGGGCTGCACCCCGAGGCCGGCTTTGGGGGAGGTGGGCCCCGGCGGCACCGCGGGGGGCTCGGCGGGCTCGCCCTGGGTGAGGCGGGTGCTGTCGTTCCGTTTGGGCCGCGTGGGCGGAGGCGCCTTCTTGGCCGGCGGCTTGGCCCACTGCTGCGGCTGGGGGCTGACCACGGCCACCCGCGGGGACGCGGCCCCCAGGAAGGCGGCCGGGATCTCCACGGGCGGCGGGGGCGGGGGCAGCTCCAGCTCCGGGGGCGGCGGCGGGAAGTCCGAGTCGGAGGGCGGAGAGGGGAACTCCACGGCCGGGTCCTGGCCGCGCGCACCCAGGACGGAGGCCCTCGCGGGCGCCCCCTGCTGGAGGCCGCCGGGCAGGTGCACTCCGGGGAGGTTCAGCTTCCCGGGCTTGGGGGGCGCGGCCGGCGGCGCTGGGGTGTCCTTGCCGGGGGACCCCGAGGGCTCCGCGAACTTGCTGAGCAGGCTGTCCACCGAGGGCCGCTTGGGCTCGGGGGGCGCCGCGCCGCCGGCCTTGATGCTGGAGTTGCGCTGCGGGGTCGGGGGAGGCTTCTTGGCCCCGGGGCTGGCCGTCTTGGCCGGCTTCTTGCCCGGGGAGCCGCTGCGCTCGGGGGCCGCGGTGGGGGTGGCGGGCGGCGGGGTGGGCGGCGGCGGCGGCGGCGGCGGCGGGAACGCCAGGCTGCTCTCGGGCGGCGGCGGCGGGAAGTCGGGGGCCGGGGCCGGGGCCGGGGCCGGGGCGCCGGGCTGCCACCGGGGCTTGGCCTTCACGGCGGGCGGGGACTGCGGCGCCGCGGGCGGCTTCGGGGGCTCGGCGGGCGCGGGGAACTGGCTGGCCATCTGCCGCACCACCGACAGCCCCGGGGACGGCGGGGCGGCGGGCGGCCTCCCGGCCAAGCCCTGGTGCTTGGGGAGGGTGGGCGGCGGGCCCGGGCCCGGAGGAGCGGCCGGCGCGGGCGGGACGTGGGGGAAGGCCGGCTTTTTGGCCGGGGGGGCCGGGGGGATGGGGGATGGGGGCGCGGTCTTGGAGCCGGCGGGCGGCGCAGTCGCCAGGGGTTTGGGGGGCGCCTGGGGGGAGGCGGGCGCGGTCGCCAGGGGTTTGGGGGGCCCTTGGGGGGAGGCGGGCGGCGCGGTCGCCAGGGGTTTGGGGGGCGCCTGGGGGGAGGCAGGCAGGGTCGCCAGGGGTTTGGGGGGCGCCTGGGGAGAGGCGGGCGGCGGGGGTGGGGGTGTCGGGGGAGCTGCCTGGACGCCGTGCGGAACGTGATGGATCTTTAGCGGGGGCGGCGGGGGGCTGAACTGGGGCAGGGCCTGCGCACAAGGCACGGGTCTGAGCTGGGCCATGGCCGAGCCGGGGGTGGGGGCCGGCGGAGGGGGCGGGGGCGGGGGCACCACTCCGTTGGGGGGCACGGGCATCTGAGGCTTTGCTGGCTGTGAGGTGGCGGACAGAGGCTGCACCGCGGAGGGGGGCGGGGGCTTGAACAGGGGCCCTGAATGCTGAGCGGCGTTCTGCAGCCTGGTGATGGTGCTGTACTTGACAAACACGGTGGCCGCGGAGCCCCCAGAAGGCGCAGACTGGCTGGGCAGAGGAGGGGGCGGCGGGGGCGGGGGCGGAGGGGGGGGCGGTGGGGGTGGGGGTGGGGGTGGGAGAGGAGGCGAAGGCTGGGAGGCCGTGAAGGGGCTGACTAGTTTAGGTTGTGGGGATAAAGGGGTCATGAGTGAAGTGTAGGATCGATTCATAGAGTCCATTCTGGCCTAAAAGAAATACAAAAGGGGGTGAGAGAAAACAGCAAAAGTTACCGAGGTCGGCTGTGAATAAAAGGGTAAAAATAAAAGGCAAGAACTGGGGGACATGCGTGAAAAGGCCCAGCAGCTGTGATCCTAGATGAGCAAGGCAGGAAGGCTAAAATCCAGCTCCCAGGGCAGCGAGGGCACAGGGAAGTCTGTTAATCCAACAGTATTTTGAAATAGCTATCCTGCCTGACAATCTAGGAACTTCCTGTTGCAATGCTGTCCCAAATGGGAGCCCTCCCTCCCAGCACCGATGTGCTGGCGAGTTCAGTTTCAGTCCTTGACTCAGCCACGTCAGGCAGTGCCCTGGCTGGGCTTAGGAGTGCTGATGGAGGGCCTTCTGAGCACGAGGGTGGCTTTTTGATGCTCCTGAGCTGACACTGAGAGTATAAGAATGCTCGGCGGGCATGCACAGTCACACAGGAGTGAAGGAGCTTGACACACACACTCATGCTCATGTGAGACACACCCAACACACACACAAGTCCAGCAATGCAGGTAAAGAGGGGGCATTCTTTACATTTTACTGGAAAATACGCAAAGAAATGCTCATGAATATCATAGCAAAAGGTCATAATATCAGACAGAAAAAGGCAGGAGACAATGAGAAGAAACTCTGGAAGGCTAAAGGAAAAATATCAAGGTGCTCTGTGGGCTGGCCAGCAGGTTGTGGGGATAAAAGGGTCATGAGTGAAGTGTTTTGCCAACAACCTGCTGGCCAGCTCTCAGCATGGCCCAAATTATCACACCGGGTCACTCATTTCATGACGGCCTCATGGATGGATGTGGCTCAAGGATGTTTGAAAAGAGCAGAGGAAGGACCCTTGTTTAATAACTTTGAGTACATCTTTTAGGCTCTTTGAATATCGTATGAAGATGCAAGTTAAAACCATTTGTTTTCAATTGTGAATGAGACCTAATTAGCATGTAGAAAGCTGAGGTTAGTGAACTAGAAGGCTCATTCATTACAGGGCTGAATTCTATTGCCCATCAGGACACTTGAATGTTCCTTTTAAAACTGCACATCAAAGTGAAAGCATTAGTCCGCAAGACTTGGTTACAAGAGTCACCCAGGTTAACATGTTCCACAGAGCAACCCTGACCTTAGCTTGACCCTGTCTTGGCTGCGGCAGGGGTGTAGACCTTAGCTGTGCTGGCCTTCTCATTTGGCACCTGAGACTGAGGTAACAGAAGAAACACAAGAGGATCAAGACTCAAACACATCGTCACCGCTGCACCACAGGGCGCAGGCTCTGAAACTGCAATGGGACTGCCCTGCATGGTCACGGGCATGCGATCCCATCTTCCGGGGCCTCTCGTTTCCAGTGCACACGCACAGCACCATCAACACTCAGGAAGGTGAAGACTTCCCTCCAGGCGTCTGCAGTGTGAACCGGCTTCTCTCTACAGACATGGAGTCATTGGCTCCGGAAAGGGGCCGCTCTCTCCAAATTAAGTGGGAGAAAGGAGAGACTATTTCTTAAAGTCTCAGCCTCTAACAAGTTAAAGTATAAGTGCTTTGAGAATTCAGGCCATTAAAACCAATTCTCAAATATTCACTTCCAGAGGCCTCCACATTGGGTTACTAATGCCTCCTCCACCCTCTCGAGGGCTAAATACTAAAATAAAGGAATAAACCAAGGGAAAACAACCTTTTAATTCTCATTAGTGAATGTGCTTGCATAAGTGATTCAGACCAAAAGAACAGAAAAGTCAAAACTATGACTGGGTAAAAAGAAAATGGTCAGGCCAACGTGCCACCCGGTCCGCAGCAGTGAAGTGCGCAGGTGAGTGCGGCCAGGACACACCCTCACCCAGCACTTCAGAGGCAATTTGATTTGGTGTTTTACAATCGTCTAAAGAGCCTCTCCATGTTCTACATGGTCTTGCAATAATTACACTCGTCCTTCAGTGGCACTGAACAAGCTACTGTGCAAGGCTTAGGGATCCAAAACTTTAAGGGGATTAATTTCAATGTAGCCTTCCACATATATATACAATAACCGGAGAAAGAGAAATGTCAAAAAAACAAAACAAACAAAAACATAGAAGCAAAGACGATAAAGGAGTCTGAATAAACTAAATTAATAATACATAAGGAAACATTCGCAGCAAGATCAGGGCACTGGCACTGAATGGTGCTGCTCTCCTCAAACCGACTTAGGAGGAGGAGATCGATATTTCTTAAAACATGAGCCACTGAAAAGGAGTCACACTGCCAGGGTTTTTTGTTGTTTTTCCAAATCGTAGTCACTAGAGCCCACTCACAAATACTCATTTCTGAGGAGAAACCAGACAGAATGCATCACGTAGAGCCAAGAAAGATTCATAAAAAAGGGATGGAAGAGCAGCAAGCTAACCCCGCACCACAGCCTCTCTATCGCCGCACGCTTACCTTGCTGGACTCCTCCAGCTGCGTGCCTCGTTTCCAGGCCTCGGAGAAGATGGAGCTCACGATGCTCTGGGAGCGCACGTGTGCTGCTGGCTGGGAGTCGGACACGCCGCTGTCAGACTGGGTTGAGTGGTTTGACTGAGACTCTGTAAAAACAGTATTACATACATCAGCATTCTGACAGTGTGAATATGTACGTTCAGACAGATCTGTTACACAAGAGAGGAGCAACAAGTTACTTAATGCATTTCATATAAAGCACCACCCATATTTTCCAACAGAAAACTTCCCTCTACCTTAGGGGCTAATAGGAAATCTTGATTCTTTTAAAACAGTTCACCACGAGAGACTGATAATTACAATAAAAGGCTCACATGAAATTATTGGTATCCTGCCAGTCTATCTTGGAAGAACTGTTAGCAATAGAGCAGTGATTTTTTTTTTCAGTTTTATCTTCATTACATCAAAATTCAATCTCATTATACATCTCTGCTTCAGGCCATCCCTGAGAGAACTCACTCACTTAGGAATTTACATCTATACGGGATGAGCACACCCTTGTCCCCAGCAATGAACAGTACTTAGGACTGGACTCCCGAGTGGGAAGTATGTTTCCTAGGGCTTTGGTGTTGGCACCACAGGGCAGCAGCTACACTGACAGCCTGGCCCCCTGGCAAGGCACCAGGGCAGGTCTTCAGGGGAGCTGGGAATGGCAGAGGATACAGTGTAATCTGAATGACTCCCAGGGCGAGGGGACTGGGAAGATGATTTTACTGGACTCCCAAGTCAGGTAAGATAACCATGCCGAAGCACCTGGCTCAATGCCTGCCATCTGGTAGAGATGCCAATGTTACAGCTAGTCCTATCCACTCACTCTATGTGAGATGTGGATGTTATTAGATTGCCCAGGATATTGTTCCCTCTAGCAAGTAAAACAAAAAGTTCATGTACCTATTTCTTATAATTTAGAAATTAGGTTGGCTGTTTTTAGGAATCATGCTGAAGCAACCAAGTCTATTAGCACTCTACAGAGAAGGCTTCACACCGCTAGTAAACTGTGCACGGGCTTTTCACATTACCTGGGATGCTGGAGGAACTGGACCCTGATTTAATGCTGGAGCTGGATAAGGAAGTCCAATCACAAGCGGACTCTGTCCTCTTTAAAGCTTCTTGGTAGTTCATGTAGAGCTGCTTCCCGTACTAAACAGAAGCAGTAAGTGAGGACATCTGAACTTTACAGGGCATGATTCAGCCGGGTGAGGCAGAAAAGTGGTACATTTCCATTTATTTATTCATAGCCTGTATTAAAATTAATACCTAGCAATCCTTAAAAAATACTTTTAATACCAGTAAATTATAATCTTATTTTTCTTCATTTTTACAAAGGCAGCAAGAAGTTGACATTTGATTGTATTCATTATCAATATGAAGTTTTTTTTTAGTTATTCCTTAAGCAACTTTGATTTTATAGCTATAATAAATTTTATTTCCAGTTACTTAATAAAATCATCTTCAAAATATGCTTTAAAAGACTTTTTTAAGACTTACTTTTTTTATAGAGCAGTTTTAGGTTTAGAGTAAAACTGAGAGGAAGTTTAGAGATTTCCCAGCCTCCCTGTTACTAACACTCCCCACCAGAATGTACATTTGTTACAATCAATGCACCTACACTGACATCATCACCACCCAAAGCCCGTAGCTGATCTTAGGTTTACTCTTGGTGTTGTACATCCTAAGGATTTGGACAAATGAATAATGACATATTCCCATCATTATAGTATCATACAGAGAGTATGAATATTTTCACTGCCCTAAAAATCCTGAACTCTGCTTATTCATCCACACACCCCCGCCCCAGGCAATTTCTTTTATCTAGGCTGAACTCTGCTACATGAGAATCATATAATACATGCTCCAAAGCCAAAATAAATCACTTTTGATGCTACACAAGCTTTTACTAGCAGAATTATTCCATTGATACCAACTATTAAAAGTTTATGTCTAGCCCCAAAGAAAAAAGATATTTAAAACATAAGGCCTGAGAAAACCAGACACAGGCAAAATCATAAACATGAAACCACCAGAATAATTATCATGACAATCAAAAAAATATAATTAAGTACCTCATTATTCTGTCATCAAATCCAAGAAAACTTACCTTTGCGATTCGGATACCATTGACCCACTGGTGCAAGGTCCTCACATCATCACAACAAAGGTATTTAATGTACTGAGATTTCTTCTGGATCTGTGGGTGCTACAAGATCAAAGACAAAGTTAAACCGAGCCTGCTGGAGAACTGAGTGTACTTTTCAGCTGAGGGCTGCAAAATGCAAGTGCTAGAACAGACTTTAAGTTGTTTAAACTCCACTGGGCCACAACCACTTGTTCTCTGGGAAGAAAACCCTAAATCGCACTCAGTTTTTGGATGTAATGACTGTTAATTATGACTTCTCTTTTTAGCTATTCTGAACATTTTTTAAATGGCTATTTTACTTAAAGTATTTAAATTATGTTCAATTATAAGAGGTTTTAAAAATTCTCTAACCATATTCGTTTGTCTCTAACCTGAGAATTAAAATAACATCTGAAGAGTATTATATGATATGATTGAGTATGTGCAGATTACTTGCTAGTTTGAAATTCATTTTAGGACCTCAAAAATTCTCAACCTCCCAATGTAATAATAAAGGCATTCATTCTGTAGCCTTCATATGGTCATTCGGCTCTGTGCCAATATTGCAGGAGAAAGCCCATTCCACTCATATAATGTTATTTTATTAAAAAGTGGCATTTATTGAGCACTTACCATGCACCAGCATCATGCTAAATATCCCACATATATTAGCTCATTCCATCCTCATGAAAACCCTGAGTCACACAAAATTACCTCTACAATCTGAGAAACAATGGAGGCTCAAAGGGGTGAGGACCACATTCAAAGTTATTTGCCAACAAGTGAAAGAATCAGGATTTGAAATCATGCAATCTTGTTTCAGAATCCATGCTATTAAATATTATGCCAAACTACTGCCTTATAAATGGTGAAATTTTCTTCCAGATTTGCTGCCACTCTTCTCTTTTCCCTAATACTATTCTACCACTTTTAAAATCGCTCAAGAGCTAAGAGCAAGTATGAAGGAGACAGTCTTTGCATTTAAATGATTAAACACTCCAAAGAGAACATATAATGAAATTGCTTCCAAAACAAATGAATAGCTACACCAAAAGGAAGGTCATTATTTCACTTCTAAAATGATGCTGATTTGGGATGTTTGCATTCTTTAATAAAAGGTAAAAATTTTGAGAATAAAAAAATTTAATACAATAAATTCTGAATTACTATTGTGCTATTTATTTATTTTTTTGTTTATGCCAAACATTAGATTGAGACTGATAATTTCTAAAACTCTGTAACTAAAAGTGATGCTATAAAATCACAGTCCAAGTGCCAAAGGAAAACCACTGAATGTATACTAATCATTATTACTTTGGAAACACATCTAGTCTTGAAAATTAGTTCCCTCAACTAACATGCAAGAAGTAAAAAAATAAAAACATGTAACATTCCACCCACTTTAATACTTTTGATCCTTCTAACCATCAAAAAAATAAAGAACCCCTTAGAACAAAAATATTCTTACCCTAAGAATTTTATAAGCTGCAAAAGGAATTGCGATAATACTGCAATAAATAACAACTGTTGGTGAGGATGTGGAAAAAAGGAAACCCTTATATATTGTTGGTGGGACTGTAAATTGGTGCAGCCACTATGGAAAACAGTATGGCGGTTCCTAAAAAAATTAGAAATACAAGTACCATATGATCCAGCAATCCCTTGCCTGGGTATCTATCCAAAGAACATGAAAACACTAATTTGAAAAGATATATGCACTCCTATGTTCACTGGAGTATTACTACAATAGCCAAGACGTGGGAACAACCTAAGTGTCCATCGACAGATGGGGTCCTGGGTCACATGTGAGGCCTGCACTGTGGTGGCCATCTGTGACTATAAAGTAGCCAGCCTGAGAACACGCTGACGTGTGGAAAATGGGACGGAAAGACAGAGAGAACTTAGGTTCTCACTGACAATCTGAGTTAAAATAACTGACTCTTACTGTCATGTAATAAGATCCCCCAAATAAACTTTACTTATTTGGGTTAAGTTTATTAATATTTACTTTATAAGAAATTAAAACTTAGAAAAACTTAAAATATAAGAATATACAAATACACATTTTACTACATAAGAGAGCAAAGGTATGTTCACATGTCATATAGTAACCCCTCTGAAAACTCCATTTAGACATCTGTGAGAGAATGGGAGTATGAAAGGCAAACAACAGCGTAGCATTGGTAGAAGAGTAATTATGACATCATGGACCTTGTTAGGTCCTAGGGACTCCCAGGGGACTTTAGAGCTCATTTTGAAAATTGTTGGATTCAGCTACTTTCTACTGACTTAAAGATCATTTGCTGCTGTAACCTAAATAATACAGCGGTATTCGCCAAGAAATGATTACCTACAAAAGGTTTACTGTTACACCTAATTTTATCAAAGCAATAAAAACTCCACTAAACAAACACCACTAACCCAAACTCAAATGACAATTCTCAGAAAAGCAAAATCAAACAATGACATAAACATGTAGACCTAATAGCTACCAAAGGGTCACTAGGATGGAGCTAATGAGAAAGACATAATCATCTCCATAATCATCCAGGATTTTTACAAGTTGTTTTTATTAGTGCCCCAACAGATCACTAAAACTTCACTAAAACATCAGTTCTCAAAGTATAGACATAATTGATGGGAGTAGCTCAAAAATTTGGGTAAGGAGGGAGGGGGGGGGACCCAGAAACAACTCAGGCAATAATACCTGCATGGATTGCCTACATGCATGGATTACCAGGGTTATAGTTGTGTGTTTCGGGAGGAGAAAAACATTTATGGACCAGATGAGAGCCAGTCCACTTTGACCACAGTGCCCTCTGATGGCTCTGCTGAGTAAGTACAGAAGAAAAACTAAACCACATAAAATTTTATGTCCCAATTTATTTGGCTCTGATCTAAGTTTTCCTAAAATAAACCTGCTATGAAATGAAAACCTCCAATTTATAATCTATTTTATATATTATGATTCAAAGTTTACAATCTAGCATCCATTTCTTAGTGGCATCAATCTAATAAGAGTTTACTTAGCTAAGAATCAGCTGTGGTATAGCACATTATTCACTATCCTTCACTATCCCTTTAAAAATCTATTAAAAAAAAAAAAAAAAAAAAAAAGCAAAACCAGAATACTAGATGAAGATCCAAACTATTCTAAAATGCCCAATAACACAGTCTATGTCCAACATCAATTAAAATTCCTAAAAAGAGATACATGTTTACCTTCAGCACCAGACAACAGTCTGTCGGGGCTTTGTATTTGTTCCGATAGTCCTGTCCGTAATAAACATTGACATGATCCAGCTGGAGAAAGCATACCAGATCCCGAGACACCTAAGATAAAACACAGCCAAACTGAAAAATTAACAATAATTTGTAAGCAAGCAAATATCATAACTGGCAACAGTTTCTAGTAAAAAATGAAAATTTTACCATGTAGAAATTACTGCTATTTTACAGAAGACAAGACAGTGGGATTCTCTATAAATGTTTCTTTTTTAACCCAGGATGCAACAAAAAAGGCCATTCCTTTTACTAACTGTCTTGACATTTACAATTAACACTGACTTGCTTGAAAAAGGGTGGCATTTTAAGGGAACTTTAAATATGGTATAGTATATTAAACATAATCTAGTATAAAAGAGCTCTCTGGGAAGAACAAGAAAATAATGCAGTTCAGTGTCTGTCCACACATATCTCAAGCACAGTGATTCTCAAGGTGGGGTATCCTTACCAGTTAAATAGGGACAAGAGTAGATACTTCTCGGGGTGGCAGTAAAGACTGGGAGGAGGGATACAGTGAGGAGCTTAAAACAGTGCTGGCCCCCCGTAAGCTCAGAAGCTACAGGTAAGCATGAAACATTCATAATTCCAGAAAGCTATTCTCCCCAAACAACAAGCAGCAAAAACTAACTACTCTAGAAGTCCCAAAAAATAACACATAAAACGATGGTTTTAAATTTGGCAAGAGAATGGAGACGGGCCCAACTAATGGGCAGAGAGCGGCCATTTTCTGGTTTCTTCTTCTTTATGACAGATCGGTAAACAAAGCAATGTTCTGTGTGTCGTACAGAAGTTGAAACAAATCAGAGCCTGGATTCACCTTGTCAGCACGCGCACTACAAATTAAAACCAATGAGCACAATGAAGAAACTCAAATGCCAGCAGAAGAGACACACCTTCGCTTTTCCTTTAGGGACATAGTAAATACCAGATGCTCGCAAGAGAAAGTAACGCTTTTTCCAAGACTTCTTGCCATCATCTTTCAACCAAAGGACTCCTTCAATTTCTGGTATAGTTACAGAACTTCCACAAAAACATTCCTAAAAGAAGATGAGATGGAAAGACATATGATCCTTGGATTCTCAGAATAAAGTTGTGTTTACTCCTGTGAAATGCATGACACAGTAATTAAACCAAAATGGTTTTGTATTAAAACCATGCTATTGATTATACCTCAATTAGAACTTCCTATTCTAAACATAATATGGTTTTAGAACTGATATGGCAGTTCCTGTGAAATTTTATCTAATATACAGTTTTGAAGAACCAGAAGAAATGTCAACTGAGTTGCATATAATGACACTTAAATGCATTTGTAAACAGCACAGTTATACTAAATTTAATAAAAGTGTCAGAACTAACATAAGCATTGAACTTTATATTTTTCCAAATAACATACTTAGATTGGCTCTCAAGCAATATAGGAATGCATTTTAAAAGAAAACAACATGCTAAGTGAATGATTACAAAAAGCAACCATGTATTTAGTAAAAGAATTTTATCGATAGAAATACTCACTGAAGATTAACATAGGACATATGGAGCCTAAATTAATTTCTCTTTCTCTGAAGTACAGAAAAATTAGGAATTATAAAAAGGATTTTTCTTAATTGTAGCGAGTAGCATATAAAAAGCTGAGTGCTGATCTCCACTTTCCTAATTGCCTTGTTGTAAGTAAGCATTTATTCAGGTTTTCAAACATATGAACATCTTTCATCTTAGCTTTCTTAAATTAGCAAAAGCCAAAAATTCAATATGAATTTTACTACTCTTCAAAAGAAGGAGATGTATATATTTTTAAAAACGATTATGCTTGTAAACATTCAATAAGACGAAGGCTTGAAATATTTTGTAAACAGCTACTTATATTCAAATTTCTCTCCGGATAAGCAGATAAAACAGCACAATCATATGCTTCCTTGACCTGCCTTTTCTCCAACTCATCAGCTCCCAAAAAGCTCATGCCCCTTTTAGTACACCAGCTGACCTCTCTCCATCAGGCTATCGAAGAATATAGTCTTCTCTAGTTACACTGCAAAAATGAACATACTGCACTGACATAACAGACTTACAAAAAATGGTGGTTAATATTTTAATATTATTATGGGAGAGTGAAGAGTCATACCTCCAACAGCACTTCTTTGTTTCTATCTGCCATCTCAGCCGTTTCCTTTTTCCCCAGAAGATAGTTCTGGAACAATGAATAAGTGAAAGGGTAAACACAAGAGCATATGTGATTTCTTCTAGAGAGAGAGCACCTCTGTGTCAGTTTCCGGCTGTGCAGAGGAGAAGGAACACTCTTTGGAAAGCAGCCTGTGCAGGAACACCATCATTCAACAGCTAACAGTGGCTTCCTCCTTACCTTACTCATTCATCTTGAACAACTCAACATAAATGCTCTCCCCCAAATCCTGAGGTAATACTACATGCCACAATACTACGTTTTGATATATCTAATGAAACTTGTGTTTACAGGACCCGAAAGGTTTACAAATTAAGTATGACAAAGAAGGCAAATTTCCTTAAAATATGCTGAGCTTAATTGATCCAGATGCAGAAAAATGTAATTCTATGTTCTGGGTTTTAAAGAAGAATCCCAAATTCTCTGAGACTATCATAATCTCCTTTTGATGACTCAACTAAAATATGAATTCTAATTATTAGCCTTATGAAAAAACTTTCAACAATCACCCATAAAAATATCTATCCATATTCCCAAATGTGTATTCACTTAAAATATCCAGTAAAGATGTGTCATGATTAAGCCACCTGAAGGATGACTACTCAATACCTTTAACCCTGTTACTATTTTTCCTCATTACTACCTTTTATAGTGGGGTTGTTTCCTCTTCCCTGTTGATTTTTATAAATACTAGAGGCCCAGTGCACGAGATTCATGCACTGGAGGGTGGGGTGTCCCTCAGCCCGGCCTGTGCCCTCTCACAGTCTGGGAGCCCTTGGGGGATGTCCGCCGGGGATCAGGCCTACACCGGCAGTCAGACATCCCTCTTGCAGTCTGGGGCTCTTGCAGTTTGGGACCCCTCACTCCTTACCATCCGCCTGTAGTGGAGGTAGGAGAGGCAAATGCCACCACCACTGTGCTTGCTAGCCATGAACCAGGCTTCTGGATGAGTGATGATCTCCCTGCGGGAGCGCACTGACCAGCAGGGGGCAGCTCCTGGGTTGAGCATCTGCTCCCTGGCGGTCAGTGCATGTCATAAAGACTGGTCTTCAGCAGTTCAGTAGATTTGCATATTATGCTTTTATTATATAGGATTTGGGCATAGAAAGTATTAACTCAAACATTGTTTTGAAATAAGCAAAAATAGGTCTTTATAAACAGCCAAGTAAATCAAGGTCACATGTATTAGAATGTGGAACCATTTATAATCAAGGTTGCTAAGATTAAAAAAATAATTAAAAAAAGAAATAAAAGTCTCAACTGGATAAATGGCTGAAATAGAGAAACTTAAAAGTGTAAGTACTTTTCTTTGATGGATAGAAACTCACCAAATAAACAGCTACTGACCACAGCTCTGGAATAGAGCAGAAACCTGGAAACTCCCTGGAGTTACTTCTGCTGCCCCAAGGGCTCACCCCATCTGGCTCTTTGGGCTGATAACCTCTCTGGGGCCCGACAACAGGCCCAGAGGTCTCTCCACCTCAGCAGCAGTGAATGCTACCATGGAGTTTTACAACCACAGTATTCCAACCAGGTGGTTGCCAATCTTTTAACTCTACCAACTTAGCGATGAGAGAACAATATAACCATTTAAAAATACCAACCTCTGTGTCTTTTAGTCTCACCTGTGGATTTTTGAAAAGTGCATATTTTTCTATACGCTCCATAAACATAAGCCTGTTTTGACTGTCTCTTGTCCAGTTAAGAAGATTTTCAACCAAGTTTTCATGGTCTTCAAAGATTCTCTCTGTCCCAAAATAAAATACCAATACTTTGTTATTACTCACCAGAATTGCATCAAGTATATGAAACCTTGCAAATAATTCACAGCAGAACCACAGAATCTTTACTGACACTAAAGTCCTGAGCCCTTAGAAGTTTTCCCACTGTTTTCAAATAAGGGAACATGCCCTAACGGTGGTCAGTGACTTTAGCAAAGTCATAGGCCTGCTAAATGGAAGAATTAGGACTGGAATCAAGGCCTTCTTCTAGGTCTTCTTCAGCTTTCAGCCTTTTCCAAGCATATGTTAGGTGCTTATCATAAATTCCGATATTAAGTATTTCCCATAGTATTCAGTTCTTGTAATTTAAAAAATTTCCAAGGTAATTTATTTTTTGAGTCATGGGTTTTACTTTTAAACATAGACATATTTTCTAATTTCTAAATTAGGAATCAAAGCACATGACCTTTAGATTAAATATATATAAAATGTAAAATATTCTAAGAACCCATTTAGATACTAATTTTTTGAAATTTCTTAAGAGTTGCTTATGGCCTCATACTTAAAAATTTTTAGAAATATTCCTCTTCTGCTGTAAAAGAATGTATATTTTCTTGTAATTAGATAGTATTTCATAGATCAAACAAATTATTTTTCAAATCTCTTGTATCCTTTTTTGTTTGCTTGATTGTACTGATCATTGAAAAAGTTCTACTATGAAGGTTGACATGAGTTTCTCCTAGTAGTTCTGTCAATTTTTTTTTTTTTGCTTTATACAATTTAATGCTATTAGATAAAATTTAGAAATATGGTCTCTTCCTAGTGAATATATGTGTTCTCTTCATCTTTAGTAATGAATTTTGCTTAAAGTCTATTTTGTCTGCTATTAAAGTTAATTACTTTTGTTTTGGTTACTGTCTTCACATTCCTTTTATTTATGTGTATTTAGATAATAGGTCTTTATAAACAGCAAACAGCTGCATTTTATTTATTCATCCTTTCTAATAATATTTAACTGAGTTGTTTACATTTATCATAATTTGTTTCCACCATCTTATTTGGGCTCTTAGTAGCCCCTTGTTTTCTTTTCTTTTATTCATTCAACAAATACTGAATGACCATATATATATATATATTTTTATTTAAAAAAATTTTTTTTTTCAAATACAGTTAACATTCACTATTTTTTATTAGTTTCAGGTGTACAGAATAATGGTTAGACAATCATATACTACTTCACAAAGTGGTCTCCTGATATTTCAAGTACCCATCTGGCTCTATATACACTTATTAATATTATTGACCATAGTCACTATGCTGAACCTGACATCCCTGTGACTATTTTGTGACTATCAACTTGCATGTAATCCCTTCACCCTTTTCACCTAGCTCCACATCCCCTTTCCTCTCTGGCAATCAACCAGTCTGATCTCTGTATCTATGAGATCACCTCATACTGCAGTTGAAGCACTGCGCCACATATGATTAAACAGTTACTTAAGACACCATAGTCATTTATATAAGAGGTAATACAGAAAAATATTACAAATGTGAGTCTTTGAAACTATGATCATAAAAATATTCCAAAACTAGCATCCAAACATTTTCTGTGTATCATGATGCTACTACATCTATGAACTCAAATTTTTTAATGAAGTAGAGTTATAGATGAGTACTACGAGAATACATTTTTATTCATGTTAATGATGGTCTAATAACTTATGGCTTAGTTTTGGGAGTTATGTACATATTTTCTGAGAGAGGGGATCAATAATTACATTTTTTATTTCTCTGTAAATTGCTGTAAATATTTAAAGTAGTAAGAGAAATGCAAATACATATTTTAAGTAAAATAGCAAATTGAAATTGATTATTGATTCAATTAAGTATGCTAAGAGAATTACTTCAAGATTTATTACAAAACAACACGTTTTAAGAGTTAAGAATTATATAAAAAATGAGGATGTTTAAAATCAGATGACACCATATCAAATTACAAGTCTTAGGAAACTAAGACATAATACACCTAGCTAAAAATAAGATATCTGTGCTGTATTTGTCCCCTGAAAATCAAATGCGGGAATAAGGACTTCAATACCAATGTGAATAAATTGGTCTTCAGTAAATGTGTTGATTTATGCAGTTGTTTTCAAAGGGAAATAGTATTTTGTTATCTTAAAACACACACACACAAAGCTTGTTCTATAAGAAAATCTAAACTCAACTAGATACCTCATATTCAAAGAAATCTCAAAATACTTGGAAAAAAAAGATAATGTAAAAAGCCAAGTTTATTTATAGGGGATAAAATATAAATATGTCTCTAAGTACTTTTATCAACATGAAAACTGTTAGAATTAAAAAGAAATTAAAAAGTGAAGCAATGAGATTACTAACCCATTTGTAACTCAGAGATGGTTTCTACTAGTGACCAGTCTAAACTGTAACCGCAGTGGGATTTGTCCATCAGGTTATCCAGCACTTGTCTCACTGTCTGTCTCTCATCCACCATCATTGTTTTAGAACTATCATCAGACATGTGGACTCTAATAACTAGCTATAAAAGAAAATTAAATGCAAACCAAAAATTAGACACTTTAGAAACTTTTTACCAATAATTGAGTAATGCTCTTAATAATTAATGACCTTAGTTAAATATAAATTAAAACAAACTTTAATTTATTATATAAAATACTCTAAAATTAGGTATTAAATAACCTACATAAACAAATTTAAAGCCTCCTTCAAATTATAACAGGTTAAGATTATAATAAGATTATTTTGTTTTACTCTGTTGTAACTTAAAATCAGAAATTTACTTCTTTTAAAATGCATTTTATACACAAAAAATACATGTGAAAGATATATTAGGAAGAACTACTCTTCTGTAAAACTGATTAAAAAATCCAAGTATCACCTTTTTCACTTGGGCTTCTTTAATTTTCTCTAGGGCAACTCTGATCTTCTCAGCTTTCAATTTTGCTGCTTGTTCTTCCTGTGAACAAAGCACTTCAGATAAACTAATGCTAAAATAATGAGATTTTTAAAAGAAGTCTTTTTATCCTTAAGGATATTGCTAGCATTGAATTTTAGCAAGAATATAACTTTATACACTTATATAAATATTTTAAATAACCCTGTTCACAAAGTGAGAGCTCACATATTATAAACTTTTTTAAAGATGCAGACTTAAAGATCTCATAAGAATAGATTCCATATTCCAGAGAAAAAGAAACCTGTAATGTAGTAGATTAATGAGTTTGATTCTGTCCATCTGAAGCAGATGAATTTGGGGTTCTGGGGTAGGGAAAACATGAATGTATATAGGTTATCTGTGGGCCTGACAATTTGTTACACCTGCACAATCTCTAACTCTGAATTTATACCCCTCCAAAGCATGGGCAATCCATCTTTTGCATACTAATGTTTTGTTCTCTTACACTGAAAAAGTATCATCATAAAAATAGCAAAACAAAACAAAAAACTTCAGTATCAATCATATACAACTCCTTAATAAAACTCAAATTTATTTTCATTAATTCATTGATAATTTTTAAGTTAAATATAATTTTTCAAATATTTAATTTCTAATAATTTCTACTTTATAAAGTTTAGATTAGTAATAAAATTATCAAGAACTACAACTATACTTAAACCATTCATCAATTTTTGTTTTCTAAAACAACATATAGTGCTCTAATACCAGTACTTACCTGCACTTTCCAGCAATAGGCCATAGTACACTGTAGCTTTAATCGCCAGTTGAAAAACTCACGTAAGTAAACTTTTACATATAAAGGATTACTTTTTAATTCTAAATTTTGATTTCTCTGGAAAATAACTAAGAAAAACACAAACTACCAGCTTGTAGATTCCTTTATCTAATATAAAACTTAAAAACATACACACACAAACAACAACGAAGAAAAACCTAATTATATCAGACAAGCACTATCTACTGTGGATTCTAATTAAAAACCACAATCCGTGTGTTATTCTTCATTAAAAACCTAAAGCTATCAGGCTAAAACAAAACAAAACAAAACAAAAAACCCCAAACAGATTCAGTCTTCTCCTAAATTCTGTTGGCTTTCCTGTTTCTGAACTGCTTTGCTTTTCTCTTCATATTCTAGGCTTTCTTCCCTCATTTCGAGCATAGTGTTTACTCACTACTCTGCGAAACAGAAAAACCAGTGGTTGGGGAAAGACAGTGGGCTTGTTTGTCAGAAATCTGATCCCAGTCAATGAAAGGAGCCAGGGAATTAACATAATAACCACCAAGGTCTGGAAATACTATCTGTAAACCAAATTAGACAGAAAACAAAGAACTTTATTTTAATAATGGAGAGGAGTAAGATAAGACTGAATTCTTAGAATATTATAGATATTTTCATTTGATTAAGAGATTAGATCTTACCTACACTATGCAAATAAACAACAGAATTATTGTTGATTATATATTTTAACAAGTTTTTTTAAGACAGGTTATAAAATAAGAAAACTAAACTACTACTATAAATTTAAATCTCAAAGTCTGATGAGGAAAAACTGGTATGTAGAATCAATGCTTTTTCTATTTGGAACATAAACATGAACTTCTAAAAGGCCAAGTTCTTTTACTTTATAATCAATATGCAGAAGTTAAAAAAATTAGATGTCCTCAAAAGCAAATTACATTTTTAGGATAAAGCATATTCAAGAGAATGAGAAGACAGCTATATACAGGAAAAAATATTTGCAAAATATTTATCAAACATATCTGATGAAGAATTATGAACTATACAAAGAATTCTTAACACTATGGGCAAAACACCTTAACAATGAGTAACACAGATACAAAGAAGATACACAGATGGCAAATAAAACTACAAATAATGCTCAGACTCATATGTCATTAGGGAACTGCAAATTAAAACAATGAGCTACCATTACACACCCATTAGAATGGACAGAATTCAAAACACTGTCAACACCAAATGCCACCCTGACTGGTTTGGGTCAGTGGATAGAGTGTCAGACTGCATACTCAAGGGTCTCAGGTTCAATTCCGGTTAGAGGCTGTGCCTTGGCTGCGGGCACATTCCCAGTGGGAGGTGTGCAGGAGGCAGCTGATTGATGTTTCTCTCTCATCGATGTTTCTAACTCTCTCTCCCTCTCCCTTCCTCTCTGTAAAAAAATCAATAAAATATAAACACACACACACACACACACAAATGCTACTGAGGTTTGGGGGAGTAACAGGAACTCTTATTCACTGCTGGTGGGAATGCAAAATGGAAAAACCACTTTGGAAGACAGTTAGGTGGGTTCTTAGAAAACTAGACAAGCTCTTATGATACAACCTAGCAATCATGCTTCTTAACATTTACCCAAATGAGTTGAACACTACCTCCACCCAAAAACCTATAAATAGATGTTTACAGCAGCCTTACTTATAAAATGACAAAACTTGTAAGCAACTAAGATATCTTTCAATAGGTGAATGGAGAATTTGTACTGATTCCAGACAATGAAATATTATTCAGTGCTAAAAAGAAATGAACTATCAAGCCATAAAGAGACATGGAGAAAACGGAAAAGCCTATCGCTAAGTGAAAGAAGCCAATCTGAAAAGGCTATAGATTCCAACTATACGACATTCTGAAAAAGGCAAAGCTATGAATACAGTAAAAAAAAATTAGCGTGTTGTAGTGGGTTGGGCAGAGGAAGGGGGGGAACAGGTGGAGCACAGAATTTTGTGGGAGTGAAACTATTCTATAATAATAATATGTCATTATACAGTTGTCCAAAATCATAGACTGTACACTACCAAAAGTGAAGCCTAATATAAACCATGGACTCTGAGTGATAATGATGTGTTAATATAGTTCATCAACTGTAACAAACGTACCATTCTGGTGGGGGATGGTGATAATGGAAACTATGAATGTGAGGGGGTAGGTGGTATATAAGAAATCTCTTTACCTCCTTCTAAATTTCACTATAAAATATAAAGTCTATCCAAAAAAGGAATATGAGAATTTAAATATTACATCTGATATTGGTTATAAATTTTATTATGAAAATTTATTTTCACAACTCACATTTTAGTATATTATCTAGAACACAATCAGTGCTATCTTTTGAAGAAATGGCATCAAAAGTAATTCAATTATAAGATTAGTTTATAAGCTCCCAGTTCAGTTTCTGCTCTACAGGCTAACAGAAAAAAAAAAACCTGATACACTGGAAGGAAGGTTTAAAGGAACAAAAGACTCCCAATAAATTCCATTAAAAAAAAGGGGGGGGGGGGAGAAACAAGATACATGCAACGAATGAACATACATTAAACCAATGAGATTTCCTAACCATGAACAAGAAACCATTTTTCGGTAAAACATCAAGGTAGGCTATTTTAACATCCAAATTTAGCTATTCTCCTATTTGCTTACTAACATATTACTCTTTACATAAATTGGTCTGTGTTAAAACTATCAAATTCAAATTTAAGAGCTATGTGCTTAATTTCAACCTAGGGAAATTGAAGTTCATTCTTCTCCAGTTTATTTACAAGAATGTCCTTGCTAGGAGCTTTTTGAAGAAACAATTAATCAAGATACTTCTAAGTTCTAGAGTTTGGAGCAAAAGTGGAAATAAAACATTTATATCAAACTGCAAAATTCATAGTATTTTATTCTTCCTCAGAAAGTTTGATTTTCACCTACTTTATTTAAGCCATAATCATATCTTTTAACCACAACAAGGAGGAAACTGTTATAAGCTTATAGAGCATTGTGCAATATAGGAAAGACCAATAAATCTTTGCTAATGTACTTAGATTATATACTTAGAAGACATCTAATAGTTTATAAGGGCAATGCAAATCTATGTTTAATATCTGCAAACCATGTTAATACAAAGAACAGACCTTTATTCATCTCATGTTCTCTCTTTTCTGTTAAAGCCAACAAACTCAGGTTTTAAGTCTTCTGCCCCTTATCTTTGGCATACCCCTTTCTTCACACTGTTTGTCCCATAATTATCCTAAATATATGTAAAAGATACCTCACACATATAATAACTGAACTTTCTTTCCTACCCCTTCTCTTACAAAAGCAAGAGACAACCTATTTTCTACCTGAAAAACTCCTGTGTGGCTATCAATAATCATCAAATGCCAAGCCTTCTCAAATTTACATCAAGGACAAAAACTCAGTGAAGATCTTATGATTAAATGAAAGCCAATGCTATGGCTACAGAGTGTTAGAGCATTGTCTTCAGTGTAAAAAACAGAATACTTATAGAGTTACAGTTGCTAACAGACCGCTAGGGAATTCCTTCAACTAAGAAATTATTAAGGCTTTGTGGGTCCAGAACAAATCTTATTGAAATTACGGGGCTAAAGAGAAGTTAGCAGTTTCCTTGGGATCTAGTTTATTTCACAGATTAAAACAATAAACAATGTAGATTAAAAGAATTAAAAGAAAATTTGTAGTAGTAAATAGTTTGATGCTAATGAAGTAGTCTATTTTAGAAACCTGTTTAGGGCCAAAATAGTAACAACTAGTTTACCTCCCTTAGAGAAATCATATAACTGCCCTGAGTAAACTCAATTGGTTAGAGCATCGTCCCAATACACAATTTTGTGGATTTGATACCGGTAAAGGTATAAATAGGAATTAACCAATGAGTGCATAAATAAGTGGAACAAATCAATGTTTCTCTCTATCCCCCTTCCTCTCTAAATTTAAAAAAAAAGCAAAGAAAGAAATCATGAAATTGATATGATTCTCACCAAGAAGAGAACTAATATTAGAGAACTAACATTATCTGAACACCTTGAAACTTGTCACACACTAAACTAAGGCTCCAAAAGACTAATCTTTTTAAGATTACACTAGCAGTTACCAAGTGATTGCTTGCTCTTTACATTACAATGTGACAGTTCCTTTTGTCCTAAGGGATATAACACAAACTTTGAGATAGCAGTAAATAAAAACCGCTTGTCAAAAATAA